GTGAATTATACAACCTCATAATGTCCTCTGATCCTAGTACTCCAGCAATGTCTGCGGCAACGAAGGACGTCCTCGGCCGGATGCAGCGGATGATTCCGCCCATGTTGGAAAAGTTCCACAAAGGTGATTGATTCCATGGCTCAAGGTCCGATGCAATGGTGAAGCTCTCTCTCTCTTGCTTACACGTTCGTCCCAGGACAACTGGGCCGCGTCGCTGTTCTCGGCGGCAGTGTTGATTACACTGGAGCGCCGTACTTTTCAGCCATGGCGAGTGCAAGGCTAGGCTGCGATATGGTGAGTACAGTCAAGGCCGATCTCTCATCCCCGGCATCAGAGTGAAGTGGGATATCACATACTGAGACGGGAGCACAGTCCCACGTAATCTGCACCCCTGGCGCGGCCTCGGTGATCAAAACCTACTCGCCAAACCTCATGGTCCACCCCCTCATGCGCCAAACCCCGTCAGACGGGAGTCCCACCGGCGGCTCACAGGCGACGGAGGCGGACAAGATCTCGGGCCCCATCATCGACATGCTCGCCCGCCTACACGTGCTCGTCATCGGGCCCGGACTCGGCCGCGACCCCTTGATGCAAGAGACCGTCGCGCGCGTCATCCGCGCCGCCCGCGAGCGGTCGATCCCGCTGGTTTTGGACGCCGATGCGCTACTCGTCGTGCAAAAGGATCCGGGACTGGTGAAGGGGTACGAGCTGGCTGTGTTGACGCCCAATGTTGTCGAGTTCTCGCGGCTGTGTAAGGCGCTTGAAGTCGATGAGGGTAAAGTGAAGGACAAGGCCGGCGGAGGAGGGGAGGAGAAGGAGACGGCCAAGGTTGAGGCGCTGGCGAGGGCTTTGGAGGGGGTGACTATTGTCCAGAAGGGGGCGAAGGATTTTGTTTCGAATGGGAGGGATACGTTGATTGTTGATCTGCAGGGCGGGTTGAAGAGGAGTGGTGGGCAGGGGGATACGCTTACGGGGTCAATAGCGACGTTTTTGGGATGGAGGCATGCGTATCTTGAGGGGTTGTGGGATAGGGGTGGCGAGACGTTGAAGGAGGAAGAGTTGATTAGGCTCGCTGCCTTTGGAGGCTGCGCCATCACGAGGGTAAGTTGATCGTTCCTGGGATGATGGATGTTGAAGTTGACTGACTGCTTGTAGGAATGCTCGAGGCGTGCTTTCCTGAAGAAGGGCCGTAGCTTGCAGGCGAGCGACTTGACTGACGAGGTCCACGGTGCCTTCATGACGCTGTTTGGTGAGGTGGACGGTAATGCTGGCGCCACCAAGTTGTGATGGGGGATAGAGAGTTAAGCCCATGTGGTCGAAGTAATGTAGACGATGCAGTAAACAATATTGATCTTAAGCTACCTCGGCACTCTGTTGCTCCGGACATCGTCATTTATTCATCCCAGTAAGGGTGATTTTCTACTTCACTGGGAAAAGTACGTGACTTGGTAGGTGATTGGATCCATGAGATGAAAAATATCAGAAGGGGCAAAAAAGCAAAAGCTCAGGCGCGCAGTCCGGGATTCGAACTGCCCCCTACGAAATTCTCCATCTTTGTAGACTTCTCGAGAAGTCATACCAAGTTCTGTACTAACGGACCAGGGCGTTACACCGCTCGACCATGGGGATCGATTGGGCTTGGTTGACGAATGACGAACTCAACCTGGATATAAGGCAAGCTCGCTGCCTGGATTTGAACGGGAGTGGTGCTGCGGAAGGAAGGAACGAAAGATGGGATGAGGCTGTCGCCTTGTGGGCCGTTCTGGGTTCCGGCAGCAACTACCTTACCCAAAGGTATCCGATTAATGATGGGCTGGAGCTGAGATAGAGATTTCCTTCCGTGTCTGTCCTAACATCGGATGCTGACTATGGCAACAAAGGTCTACACAGCTTCTATCAGCCCTGTCACCGAATGTAGTCCATGGATTCTTTCTAGGGGCCATCCTTTCTTTTCTGATTATCATTCTGCGTGATGTTCTCTAGCACTGGAATTCTAGATGTCAAACATAATGCCTAGTGTTAGAATTTCTTGTCTTCGATATCGAAGTCTTGTTTAAGACAGCAAGGTTCACCACTATCCCAAAGACCTACTCTAGAAGGTAAACTCTACCACGCTCAAAGCTGACATCTTTCCTTTCCTCTCAATCATAGTATATTATCACGTGAACCCGCGGACAGCGCTCGAAGGCATGGTTTAAGCCGGGTTTATTAATGTTATGTTAAACTTACCTACATGAAAGGATTTCTTCTTCACCGGCTCCATCTGAGGGGTTCGACGGAGAGGTTGATCTCAAACTAGTCCCTGCCACCGTCTATAGTAAGAGCATGATCCTACAACGTCATCCTTTCTAGAGAAAAAAGAATTCTGGCATGACTGCTCTGCCAGGTCTGCCTTACATTCGTGGGACGAATAGGTGCGGGCGCTCCCGGAACAGTTCCAAGAACTGGCATAGTGGTATTTAGCTACTTAAGAGAAAGACACATTAGTAAACAGTCCTTGGGAACCTGTGTTCTACTCGCCATTCCTAGGATAACGGTCTACTATAGGCCTCGCCCACTTGCGAGGCAAGCCAACTTTTTGAATTCACTTTAAGGGCACTCGAGAAGACTTCAAACTCTCCTTGATCATCTGCCTGTAGTTATGAACCATTCTCATTGACGTATTCGTCCGATTACGACACGAATATGGACAGATGGAACCTAGAGCCTCTGGATCTTTAGCTTCCAACTTCTAGCACACTTGCGCGGAAGAGACTGCACATGGCGTCTTCTCATAGTCCATGTAATACCAAGCAAGATAGCCTTGACCCATAGGTCGGCCTCCAATATCTCTGAGCGGCAGAGGGGCCTCTCGAGGCTGCGGTGTCTTGGAATGACACCGGTGACATGCAGTGAGTGCGTGTAATAGGACTGGCAGTCAACAGTCAACAGTCAACAGTCAATGAGACCAGGATGTCTTGGATTCACACAGCTAACTTGCAGAGATGCGTTCCAAAGACCTGACGTGCGAGATGACAACAAGTAGAGTAGGGGTTCCTTTTCTTGGTATAATGAAGACAAGACTATGACCAAGAATGATCTAAAATCTTTGATCCATTTGGGCCTTGCAAGATGAAAGCTGATAGGTAAAGATCCGATGGTTGTGCTCTGTGGTATGTTGCGTACTTGAGAGCAGTACGAATGTCTTCCTCCCGAGAGGATAACCTGAAAGTTTGGCTCTCATGGGGAATCATCTATCAACCTATCTAGAACATAAAGCATGGATGAGCAGCCTAAGGAACATAATTTCAAGGCCTCAAAAGATGCCTGATTTCTTCATAACACTAGCAAATTGGCCCTGGCTAACGTACATCAACTACTACGTACTCAAACCACTTGAACCCAACAGAGCACTATCCCACTTGAGAATCTACATCTATTCTGAATCTCAATTCCTCCCCTGACATAGACACCTTTCCATCCCCCAACCTCATCCGGGACCAGATCCGGGTACATCCCCGGCCTTACCCCCGAGCCACAGCTCCCAAACTTACACACCCCCGGCTGAGAACCCGACGATATCCCCGAGACGACAACAAAAGACAATCACATAGCTAGCGTGTATGAGAGATGGACTAAGAGGAAATCAGCAACTTCGAGGCCCCAGGCGTACCCCGAGACATACCATCCGAACCATTCTTCAATATGTGTTAGCCGCCCAAACAACATCCCGGACTCCACACGAAGTATCCCCGAGAAATACCATCCCCCATCCCGCTTATTCCCCGCGTTTTCCTTTTACCCCGGCAGGCCCCGGGTTGTTCCCATCTTATCCGTGGTCTAATTACCTAGTCTAGAACTAAACTCATTATCTGAGCTTGATGCGTACATGCAAAATCTTGTAAAGGAGGCTACAGGCTGAAACTGGAGCGATACACACCATCGATGCATGTTGCTTCGAGGAGGATGGGGGCCTGCGGCATCCGCACCAATCCATCAGCCTTACCCGTCCCATCAATCTACAATACGACGTGGGAAAGACACTCCCATGAGGGATTCTATAAGCGCCTCGTGTGTAAGATCTCATGGCCGGACGGTAGACAGTGCCGCGTCAGAACGGGGGGTGGGGTTCATGAACGCCATGGACTGCACTCTCTCCAATCCACCATTCCTTCGGCAGACCAGTATATCAAAGAGATAATCGGTTGTCGAAGGGATGGTCTTCCCCCATAATCTGTAATGCGGTGTATTTAGATAGAAAAATAGGCTGATAATGGCGTGTTTCGCCCATACGCGGCTCCATCCGCTCCAATGCGCGATGTTCGGTTCCGCCCGCGTGAATGATACGACAAGATCCGTCCAACATCCACCACGCCGGCGGTCCTGATCTCCTTCCCCATCCTAAAACCCTCTGGTCCGACTGAGGAGACTTACCGTGCCCTAAGTGACATCCATTCAAGATCAAGAATGGGAGATGAACTGGGAAATCAATTTGTTATTTCTTTTTCATTCACTCACTCCGACACTTTTCTTACGCCAACCAACTCAAAAACTCAGAAACCATCCGTGAAAACTAATACTACTTGAATCCTCTCCCAAATCATCTATACCAAAGATGAACATCATGAGAAGGTATAGACCCGTATTATATCTCGAAACCACAGAGTATCACCTGTACGCAAGTCAACCATGTACGGTGTCTCACACCAACCTCATCCTCCCTTCTCGAGTTGCTCCATCGATTTCAACATCTGAGGTAAGCAACCTTAGTCATCACCTCTAACCGTCCTCCGTCCGTCCAACCGTTCAATGGACCTGCAAAATTCCATCCAATCACATCCCTCTCTTTCCCATCACCTCCCCCAGGGCATTTCCGTGTCTCCACTTTCTATCCCCGGGGGAGGAAGCCACAGCACATTAGCACTGGAACACCTACCTGTGCAACAGCCTGCCTCCAGCAGCAGCACCCAGTAAAGAGGCGCCCGTTGCGAGTGTCCCCGTCCGATTTAAGGTCCACGGGAGTGTGCCAGACAGTGTGCCAGCGTAAACGTGCACGTCCAGTCCGCGCCCGCGAAATTTCGGAGCGCCGCAGCGTCTGCAGAGGGAGAGACAGAGAGGAAGGAGCTTTGGTCATTGCCTCAACAATTTCGCGATCCAAACCTGGAAAACTGTCCGCCGCCTCTTCCACTCCTCCCCGACCAACCTCTGCCAATTGCTCCCGTCACGATAACCTCCACTCCCTTTCCAACCGCGAGATAATCACAAAATTTCAATATGGCTGCTCTTGTCAAGGCGATCAACGCAAAGATCAGGTCTAACCCTGTGTCGGACTATGTCTGCTCTACCCGTACGTCGTGCCTGCGCCCGTCTCTCTCGATTTTTTTTCTTCGCCCGCGGCTCCGTTGTCCGGAGTTAGCGGGGATTATCCCACACAGCAAATGGGCAGAAAGGGAGCTTGCTTGAAGCTATCGCCAGCTATCGCATGGCATCCTCGAGTGCCAGACAATTATTGATGAAGCTTGCCCTCTCGAATCCGGTGCGATTGTGGTGCCGGACCGTGTCGCCTCGATACCCCGTGATGCCCGGCGCTTACGGACTTCGATACTCCGGTGCCGGCCGCTCGCGATAGCTTCAAGATTGGACTCTGGACAGACAGCAAGGCTAATTCGTCACGCACCGCAGACTTCTGGGGCCCCGTCTCCAACTTTGGTATCCCTCTGGCCGCTGTCATGGACACCCAAAAGTCCCCCGACCTGTACGTCGAATCCCTCCTTCTGGCCCTCTCCCCGCCATCCGCACCCTCGGACAAGATAAGATGCTGATGCACCTCTCCCTTTTGTAGGATTTCCGGCCAGATGACGGGTGCTCTCTGCATCTACTCTGCCACCTTCATGCGCTACTCCCTCGCCGTCTCGCCCAAGAACTATCTCCTCTTCGCGTGCCACTTCATCAACGAGGGCGCCCAGCTTACCCAGGGATACCGTTACATGCAGTACAACTACTGGGGAGGCAAGGAGGCTTCCGCAACCAAGGATGCGTTCGAGACCGTTCAGAAGAAGGCTGATGCCATCGAGGCCAAGGTCGAGACCAAGGTCAAGGAGGCTGTTGGCAAATAAATGCGTCCCCTCACTCGAGGGAGAGGGAGAAGCTTGGAAAGGGGGCGATACGAGGCGGCAGACACTTGCTGGCTGGGTGTGGAAAAGGCCCTCGCCAACATTATGACGACGCAAGAGGGGAGGTTCGACTTTGATGTGAAAAGAGCGCCGAGAGCTTGTCACGAGCCCACGGCTGTGGTGAGGCCGTGACAGGGTGGAATCCCCGTCGACGGCAGCACAGCATAGCGTGGCATAACGTGGCAATGCCCAGCCGCGGCGGACGGTAGCTGACGGTTCTGTACCATCACCTTGCATTGTTGTTTTGCTTTTCGGAAACGGACCCTGATTCCCCGGGGAAACACTCAGGGACGAGCCTCTTCATTGCGGCCCGCAAAGTCGTAGAATAGAACAGCGAACTGTTTCTGGAACCCGGCAAGTGTGGCAGCTCTGAGTCGTGAAAAGTCAAAGTGATGTTCTTGGCAGCAAAGGGTCAAGGACCGCAAGCCAAGCAACCTGGAAGCAGCCCAGACTAAAGCACTACCACATGGACCTGAATAAGGTGGGTAGCAGTAATGGTGAGCCGCAAGCGAATGTAATTGGGCACGGAGGTCGTCGTCGTCGTGACGGTACTTTGACGGTGGGCCAGCGGTCTCGGGGCCTCGACCCGAACTCTCAAAGTTCTTACGAAAAAGAAAAAAAAGTCCCGTCGTCTCCTTCTTCCGCGCATCAAGAATCCAAGTCAACCGCTCATCTGGGCCTCAGTGACGGCCCTGACGGACGGAGCGGAGCGGAGCCCTCCTATTTCGGGCGAATCGCGCATGGTTTCAAGGGCCGGGGCCGGAGACAGTACAGGGTGAGCTAAATTCGATGAGTCAAAAAATAGGGTGTCGTCTCATCTCATCTGGACCAAAAAGCCGCGAGAGTCGTGGATACTGCACCACCATGGCATAGTGGCATGGTGACATGGTGGCCCTCTCCGAAACTGCGAGAGCACCGACATGATGACCCCCACTCCCCTCCCTCGCTGCTGGCACCTGGAGTCTTGGACAGGCCGCAGGTCTCGCCGGACGGCCGGCCGAGTGCAGATCCATCTTCGCTTTTGGGACCGCGCATGTGCTGGAGTCCGGCGTTATTAATCGTGGGGTGCAGGGCGGGTACGCATACGGCGTATGCCTCAAATAACCTGTGATATCCGGACGTGGAAGAGTCACACAAAGGCCGATCACGCAAGCTGGCAGACCCTTTCCTGCTGAAGAAGGAAAGGGGGGGCCACCCAGGTGAAATAAATGTCGCAGCATGTCATGAAGCCATCGCTAATTGCTATTACCATCGACATCCACGCGCCGGCCTGGTGGCGCACTGAAGATACGCCGTGAGTAGACGTGCGCAGTTTCTTTCACCAAGAAGCTTGAAAGCCAAATGCCGGACCAGCCGAGGTCGGAGTATCCAGATCTGGGTTGAGAGTCATCCTCGACCTCATGGTGGGCTTTTTTCAAATTCTGATGTCAAATTTTCTCGCTCCTTCGCGCTTTGCGGCCATGCCAACACCGCTTGGATGCTTGCGCGATCTGGAGGGGACAACAAGAGGAAACGGAAAGAAAAAATAGCCTTGTTGCAGATGGGGGGCCAAGAGTCTTGGATCGTGGGTTACCCAGTAGTCTGGGCTTAGCTGCGTAGGATAATCTGGCCGAGTCGCCCTTGAACTTGCAGCGCAAGTGAGATCCAGCATGGCACCTTGGCGGTGTGATGAGTCGAGAATCAGATGGCTGATGCGAAGACTTGCATCTATACTGGTTTGATGTTTCTTAACACCCCTTGTGGTGTCGTTTCCAGCAACGTTGTAAAGTCGATCCAAACGTGGTCTAGGAGTCTAGGACAGCCCAGATAACTCTTGTATTCAACGATGCGAGATTGGAGTTGGTAGCGGGAGAGATTTGACTAGTGGACCGGGAATAACGCTCAAGTATTTTATGGAGATGCGTGGTTTTGTCAAGACCGAGAAGAACCTGGAGGGTCTGGGGGTGGTGCGCTTCCATATTCCCCGTGTGGCTTCATGCGTGCTGTTGGCGCGTTGCACTTGTGGTGATGTCCATCCACCTAATTGAAGAATAGGAACTGTGGGCGGAGGTTGGTCGGCGGGTGGGATAGCCAGGCCGAGCCAAGGTCGGCGTGGCCTGCCTTGTCGTCGTTTCTGGGCACGCAGCCGTCAAGCCGCCGTCATGTCCCTCGGGGCAGGAAACCGAGGTTGACGATATCTTCGGCCCCCTTTGCTCTCTCGTTGCCGTAGACGGTAGGCTGTAGTACACGCCTCGGGAACAATGACAAAGGGGTACGAGTACAGCGTGACGCGCCGGACGGATGAACCCTGTGAAAGTCACCCCGCATTCTGCAATGGATTGGACCGCGGGGCAGAAAGGGCGAAAAAGGTCAGGGACGAGCAGGTGAAAGATTATCCATCAAAGACTGATATCGCGTCGAGTTGTCCCGAAGCAAAAAAGAGTAGCCGGTAGTTGTGGTCATTTGGTGGTAGTGGTACTGGTTTGAAGAGGCGGACGCCCGAACGACACGGCGCAAAGCCGTGTTATCCTCGGCTTCGGCAGTGAAGAGGCCCGGAAGACCCATGTAGCTCTTTTCGTGAGGCCGTGAAGTGCTCGTGGCATCGCGAAGTTCGCCGAACGTGTTGCTTTTCTTTCGGGAGATGTCGATTTAATGTGACATGGTGGACGGCAACTTGGGGTAAGGTATCGTTCAAGGTACCTGGTGGTGGAAGGGAAGCCGACAGCACTGAGGAAGGAAGGAGTGCGATGCTGCCGGCCTGCCTGCCGCTACTAAGGTGCTCCTGGGGCGGTCTTGCCTTGTGACAGGCGCCACCAGCCGAAGGAGAGATGGAAAAGACAGGTGCGAGGTACAATGTACACAATACGTACATTTTGCATCTCGGCGTGTCTTTCCATGTTCATTTTGTTGGCAGTTCCAGTGTTGTTACCTTAACTTGCAATTGTTTGTACTGGGTACTGCTGGTGCCAGTTTGTCTTGCTTGTTGACCCTCGTAACGAGCAATTGCGCTTTCTTGCCTGTGTTGTAATTTGTTTGGCATTGCTTGTTCCCCCATTTCCCATACCTAACTTGCCCATTCACAGTAAGTATGCACTTGTCATGCCGGAAATGTCACTAATCCTGTCCTGGAGTTGTCACCTCGAGAAACCGTTAGTCAACCGGAGGCAAGCTGTTTTGTATCGGCAGGCTCTGGTTGGTCAATTCCTTCTGGCCTAGCGGTGTTTTGCGACCCCGCCAATCTTCTTTACTTTTAGAATATTTATTTATTTTCTGTTACCTCTGGCTGCCGTCTTCAGGTCTAGGCCTGATGTGTTTGAGAGGGGATGAGCAGGCGTCATGTCTCGATAGACGCCTCTCGTGGGGTTTCTCTGGTTTGCGGCTTGCCATGTTCAACATGAGGCTGTCCGTATCTAAAGATAACAGTGTTTCTTTGGGGGTCGTTTCTGTTGATGGCAGATCTCTTGGCTGTCCTCACCAATCGTCTCAGGAGCTGCGGTCAAGGCGCCGGCGGGCTGGAGACGACCTAATAAACGGAGACGGAGGCTGGAGCCGGTGGAAACAGATCTCGGTCAGGGATGGGCGGGGATGGGGGCGTTTGCTGCTATTCTCAGGGCGGCGTCTGTCTTTCAGACTTTCACGGCGTTTCTCTCGCGGGGGCATTGCAGAGCCAAGAGGTATCAGCATCTCAGGTTGGTCTCCCATGGACGTTTCCTATGGATACTGGATACGGGTACCTGTCGCACCTTGATCCTTGGATAGTTGTCGGGCCTTTCCATCAACTTTGCTCTTGGAGATGGAGTTGTCAAGTTGAAGACATTTGAGAGCACTGGAGTGACATTGCCCTGCATCCGTCTCAACCTAATGCCAAGGACGGCAGCGAGGCGAGGCGGTGGACTGCAGACATCCTCAAGTGCGAGGATCAGCCATGCCATGCCGCCGTTGTCGTCAGTCAGGTGGGACGTGGGAGATGAAAGTTGAGAAGCCGAATGCCGGGGAGACATTCCATTGCATGTTGTGGTATGTCACGCTGCTTCGAGTCATCGTCTTGGTGTTCGCGGATTGGCAGATTGGGTAATAATTAGGAGTAAGGGGAGTGACTTTCTATGGTCTCTTCTTTCCCTCTCTACCTTGGACTCTGGAGGCTCCTTCTCTTTTTTTTCTCTCTCTTGTCCTTCTTTCCGCGACAAAGCGGCTGTTTGAGTAGTGCAGCTTACATCGCAGAGTGGCCTAAGCTCCTGTCCTAGACAGGGCAGCTACCATCGAGGAGGAGTGGACGAGGGGGGCAGGAAGGGAAGGGGGGAACTATGGATGTACCTTGTACCTCGGTACCTAGGTACATGTTCCGCGGTCTCACCCCTCCCCCTCTTCTTCCCCTCCATCCATCTTGCCATCCACCACCATATCCTCTGCTCCGTCTGAGCCAAATCTTCACCGTCCCAGCGGCGTCTGCAACACGTCTGTCTGCATCTTTCCCGCCGTGAATTACCCTCATGGATGTACACTGGTACAGATGACCCTCAAGAAATGCTTTCCTTTGGCGCTAGCAGCTGGAGACAAGGTCCCCTCCTTCATGACACCGAGGGGTGAACAACAGCACCAGCAGGGGGAGGAAGGTCAAGTCCCTCACTCTCCGGCCGTCTCTTGTCTTGTCAGTCAATCCCAGCTCCAGCCGCCGGCCTCCAGTTACAGTATCGTCGTCGCGGGTTCCCTGCCGTTGAGCAAGTCACTCCGGCCATCTGCAACACCAAGATTGGCTTGGTCTGAACTGTGACTGACTGAGGGTGGACGGTGGACATGGGCGGATGGATCTGGTCTGGCCTGGTCTGGTCTATCTTTGATCTCCCACTCTTCGGTCCTGTCTAAGTTGGGGTGTACCTACAAAGGACCATGGCCCGTTACGCACTCTGGACGAAGAATGTTTGCCAAGGCCTGTCTATCATGAGACTGTGACTACTGCTACAGTCTAGGTAGAGGAAGTATCTACTTACAGCCGAAGCGCAACAGAGTTGTGAAGACGAGGGGAGCCAGCCCATCCATCGATACATGTATTGAGTGAGCCCTGACACAGACAGCTACCTACAAGCTCCCAGCTTCCGAATACAATAAATCCCCTCATCCCTCGAGCTTCCAGTTCATCCTGTCGTTCCTCTCTTCCTCTTCTCGTCCTCCGTGCTTCCACCTCTTTTGCTGGCTCCTCACCTACCTTACCTGAGTTTCTGTCAGCTGCTTTGCTTCGTTGTTTGTGGTCCTCCAAAGATACCACTCAACTATCCGTACCTACTCGCATCCACCACCGTCATACCCCCCCACCACCGACACCCACTTTCTGTACCTTTCGGTCGGACGGGTGTAATAGAGAAGAGCTGTGCTCACCTGTCATCGAAGCTCCTCCCTCCTCCTCCTCTCTCTCTCCCCGGTAGAGAAGACAAGCTCCCCCCCCCCAGAGCTACCCCTCGGCTCTTAATCTTCACCTCTCGTGTCGAATCGATACCCCCTCGGCTCAACTTCCGCAGCCCACACACCACACACAACAAACCAGCAGTCACAGCACAAGCAACAACAGTTGCGCGCTTCAAACTTCGGCCTTCGGCTCAGCAGTCCCCCCTGGCCTTGTCTTGTACCCGCGCCGCCGCATCCTGCTGCGCCTGATCTGCACCTGAGAAAAAAGCCAGGCGGCAGAAGTCCAAACCGGCCCTGGACCCAGACCCCGACCGGCTTAAAGCTTGGGAGACCTGGGAGATAACCCCACCAACCCAAACCAAAGTTACCAGTCCAAACCACCCCGCCAACCGACACCCCGACGCAATTGTCTCGCAACTGAGACCTCAACAGCTTCCCCTGCTCCTCGGTCCATTCAAATACGGGCCGTCGTAGCTTCTGAATCCGTTCGGTCTCTCCCCTCCTTCCTCCTGTCCTCTCTTCACACACAACCGCCCACCATGGCCCAAACACAGGTTACCTTCAACGATGTCTTTGAGGACGGCGACGTTGAGGAGGTCCAGAAGGACCCCCAGACCATCCACCACATCCGCGCCAACTCAAGCATCATGCACTTGAAGAAGATCTTGGGTGAGTCGCGGTATTCTCGAGGAGCCATTGGATTTTCTCCATGCCTTGTCGCGCTATTCGATCCAAGAACTGTGCTGACCTGCTGTCTTTTACCCCTCTACAGTGGCCAACCGTGGCGAAATTCGTAAGTGCTTCCCTCCAGCCGAGCTCCTGACTCACGCAAGCTAACCACTGCCACCTTCTAGCCATTCGTGTATGTCGATTCTTGTCTTGGCCCAGGTAATGCTTCAGAAACAGAGATGCTCACTTTTGAATGTGTCTAGATCTTCAGAACAGTACGTAACTCAACGTTTTCCAACTAATGCTGCTATTATGGCACTAGAAGATCCAACGCTGACTCCCTACAGGCCCACGAGCTTTCGCTGCACACCATCGCAGTCTTCAGGTACAGCGCACCATCTGGGCAACCCCCAAGCTCTGCATACTGACTCTCCTTGCAGTTATGAGGACCGTCTCTCTATGCACAGACAGAGTAAGCCCACATCTAGCTTTTAAACAACCCCGAAGCACCCCTCTAACCCACGTTCCACAGAGGCCGATGAAGCATACGTCATTGGCAAGCGCGGCCAGTACACCCCGGTCGGTGCTTATCTCGCTGGAGACGAGATTATCAAGATTGCCGTCGAGCACGGCGCGCAAATGATCCATCCTGGTAAGAAAACGCATCTTCTATAGATGCTGTAGTCAAGCCACTAACACACCGCCAAAAGGTTATGGTTTCCTCTCAGAAAACGCCGAGTTCGCTCGCAACGTCGAGAAGGCCGGTCTGATCGTGAGACATCCCGCTAAAAAACCCCCCCTAAAATCTGATAACACTACTGACTCGGTGTGCTTTATTAGTTCGTTGGTCCCTCCGCCGATGTCATTGACTCGCTCGGCGACAAGGTGTCTGCCCGAACCCTCGCTATCGCTGCCGGTGTCCCCGTCGTTCCCGGTACCGAAGGCGCCGTTGCCACCTTTGAGGAGGTCAAGAGCTTCACCGATGAATATGGTTTCCCCATTATCATCAAGGCTGCATATGGCGGTGGTGGTCGTGGTATGCGTGTCGTCCGCGACCAGGAGACCTTGAAGGAGAACTTCGAGAGAGCCACCTCCGAGGCCAAGTCCGCCTTCGGCAACGGCACCGTCTTTGTCGAGAGATTCTTGGACAAGCCCAAGCACATTGAGGTCCAGCTTCTTGGTGACAACCACGGCAACATTGTCCACCTGTACGAGCGTGACTGCTCCGTCCAGCGTCGTCACCAGAAGGTCGTCGAGATCGCTCCCGCCAAGGACCTTCCTTCCGACGTCCGCGACGCTATTCTCAACGACGCCGTCAAGCTGGCCAAGTCGGTCAACTACCGCAACGCCGGTACCGCCGAGTTCTTGGTCGACCAGCAGAACAGATACTACTTCATCGAGATCAACCCCCGTATCCAGGTCGAGCACACCATTACGGAAGAGATCACGGGTATCGACATCGTTGCCGCTCAGATCCAGATCGCCGCTGGTGCCACCTTGCAGCAGCTTGGCCTGACCCAGGATCGCATCTCCACCAGAGGTTTCGCCATTCAGTGCAGAATTACCACCGAGGACCCGGCCAAGGGATTCTCGCCCGATACCGGCAAGATCGAAGTCTACCGATCTGCTGGTGGTAACGGTGTCCGTCTTGACGGTGGCAACGGTTTCGCCGGTGCCGTCATTACCCCTTACTACGACTCCATGTTGGTCAAGTGCACCTGCCACGGTTCTACCTACGAGATTGCTAGGAGAAAGGTCCTCCGTGCCCTTGTCGAATTCCGTATTCGCGGCGTCAAGACCAACATTCCTTTCCTCGCTTCCCTTCTTACCCACCCGACCTTCATTGACGGCAACTGCTGGACCACCTTCATCGACGACACTCCTCAGCTCTTCGACCTCATTGGCAGCCAGAACCGTGCCCAGAAGCTTCTTGCCTACCTCGGTGACGTCGCCGTCAACGGCAGCAGCATTAAGGGCCAGATTGGCGACCCCAAGTTCAAGGGAGACATCATCCTCCCCGAGCTCCTCAACGACGATGGTTCCAAGGTCGATGTTTTTGCCACCTGCAAGAAGGGTTGGAGAGAGATCATCACCGAGCAGGGCCCCAAGGCCTTCGCCAAGGCTGTCCGCGAGTACAAGGGAACTTTGCTCATGGATACCACATGGCGTGATGCCCATCAGTCTCTGTTGGCCACCCGTGTCCGTACTGTCGACTTGCTCAACATTGCCAAGGAGACTAGCCACGGTCTGAGCAACCTGTTCGCTCTGGAGTGCTGGGGAGGTGCGACCTTTGATGTTGCCTACCGCTTCCTCTACGAGGACCCCTGGGACCGTCTTCGCCGCATGAGGAAGGCAGTGCCCAACATCCCCTTCCAGATGCTGCTCCGTGGCGCCAACGGTGTTGCTTACTCATCGCTTCCCGATAACGCTATCGACCACTTCGTCGAGCAGGCCAAGAAGAACGGTGTCGATATCTTCCGTGTATTTGATGCCTTGAACGACATTGACCAACTCGAGGTCGGTATCAAGGCCGTCCAAAAGGCCGGTGGTGTCGTTGAGGGAACTTGTTGTATCTCAGGAGACATGCTAGTAAGTCAGCCTTCATCTCATGTCTTCGTTTTTTGGAAGATTTCGTATTTCCTGTGTTGTAATTGAGCGTTTCCACTAACATCCCCCAAAGAACCCCAAGAAGAAGTACAACCTCGAGTACTACCTCGACCTTGTCGACAAGCTCGTTGCTCTTGACATCCACATCCTCGGTCTCAAGGACATGGCTGGTGTCTTGAAGCCGCACGCGGCGACCAAGCTCGTTGGTGCTATCCGTGCCAAGTACCCCGACCTCCCCATCCACGTCCACACCCACGACTCTGCCGGTACTGGTGTTGCGTCCATGGTCGCCTGCGCCAAGGCTGGTGCCGATGCTGTCGACGCTGCCACTGACAGCTTGTCCGGCATGACCTCTCAGCCGAGTATCAACGCTATCATTGCCTCCCTTGAGGGCAGTGAGCACGACACCGGCCTGAACCCGGCTCACGTCCGCGCTCTGGACTTCTACTGGTCCCAGTTGCGTCTCCTCTACTCTCCCTTCGAGGCCCACCTCAGCGGACCCGATCCTGAGGTGTACGAGCACGAGATTCCCGGTGGTCAGCTCACCAACATGATGTTCCAGGCCTCCCAGCTTGGTCTCGGTACCCAGTGGGCCGAGACCAAGAAGGCCTACGAGCACGCCAACGACCTTCTTGGCGACATTGTCAAGGTCACTCCTACCTCCAAGGTTGTTGGTGACCTTGCCCAGTTCATGGTCTCCAACAAGCTGTCCCCCGAGGACGTCAAGGCTCGCGCTGGTGAGCTCGACTTCCCTGGCTCCGTTCTCGAGTTCCTCGAGGGTCTGATGGGTCAGCCGTACGGCGGATTCCCCGAGCCTCTGCGTTCCGACGCCCTTCGCGGCCGCAGAAAGCTGGACAAGCGCCCCGGTCTGTTCCTCGAGCCTGTCGACTTCGTCAAGGTCAAGCGTGATCTGCACAAGAAGTTCGGCGGTCCCATCACGGAGTGCGATATCGCCGCGTACGTCATGTACCCCAAGGTCTTTGAGGACTACAAGAAGTTCATCCAGAAGTACGGCGATCTCTCCGTCCTACCGACAAAGTACTTCCTATCTCGTCCCGAGATTGGCGAGGAGTTCCACGTCGAGCTCGAGAAGGGCAAGGTTCTTATCCTCAAGCTCTTGGCCATTGGTCCTCTGAGCGAGAACACTGGCCAGCGTGAGGTGTTCTACGAGATGAACGGTGAGGTCAGACAAGTCACGGTCGACGACAACAAGGCCTCTGTCGAGAACGTCAGCCGTCCCAAGGCCGATGCCTCCGACTCTAGCCAAGTCGGCGCTCCCATGGCCGGTGTGCTCGTTGAGCTCCGTGTCAAGGAGGGCTCTGATGTCAAGAAGGGCGACCCCATTGCTGTTCTCAGCGCCATGAAGATGGTAAGTTTGAGTTTCTACCTAGCTACCATGTCAAGCTCTTTACTAACATTCAATCCTAGGAAATGGTCATCTCCGCCCCCCACAACGGAAAGGTGTCGACCCTCCAGGTCAAGGAGGGCGACTCAGTCGACGGCTCCGACTTGGTGTGCAGAATTGTCAAGGCTTGAACGGGATAAGGGATCCTGGCTGGGTTACGGCAGAGCGGCAACTTTCTTTGATTTTATTTATGATTCCAAATATTTAGCGAGAAAACCAAAGAGGCATGGAATTCGACATGAGAAAAATGTCTGGGGCGCGATGAACGGTTTATATTGGTAGTTTGAATTCAAGTACATTTAGAACCATTGTCATCGTTGTCTCCATTACGAGTGCGCTCGCCTCCTAAGGCGGTATTTCAAACCCTCGTCTCCTTGACACTATACTAAACGGAATACGATATGGATGCATACCATTCCTGTCCTTGATGACTGTCCCTGTTGAAGTGCAGAAGTGGAATTGGGCGGGTATGCTCGGACCAGAACGAGCAATCTGAACCCACAATAATCTGGGTGAGACCAACCAATGAAAATGCAGGAATCCAGGTGCCTCAGATGAGGGATATTCCTGGCTGCATATGGAAAGGAGAGAACACAACATAGACAACAATATGATCACAATAATCCACGACAGTCCCAAGCTATCTCAGCACCATAAGTTCAAAAGTTCTTTACCGATTGATTACGTCCAACATGAGGAAACCGATACCTCAATTCTCCAATCAACCCTTTAGAGATCTTATCTCTAGTGTTTATTTAAAAGCAAGCGTTGTCTTTATCATGCCTATCTCGTATTGTTTATTATTCTTATCTACCCTATTACTTATTAAGCGGTGCTTAATACGTAATATATAGTATGAATATACAATATAAATAGATAACTAATCATAATATTAAAAATACCCTCGTTATTATTATTAAGAATAGTTAATATAACTAACTAACTTAGGTAGTTATATATTATTATTAATTCTTTTATATATACGTTAACTAATAATAATACATAACGTGGTTGATAAGCGAGTGGATCAGACAAGCGAGTGGATCAGCCGACCGCGACCAACATATCTTCCACCCTTCATAGGCGTTACGCCACAACCAAGCATGTCATCACAAAGTAATGAAGGCCAGCTAACCTTAGCGGTTCAGGCTATCAAAACGACACCAAATCTTAGTATCCGAGCGGCATCCCGGATCTACTCAGTACCCTTCTCAACCTTACGCCATCGTCTAAGGGGAAAGTTATCACGACGCGACACTATACCTAGATCGCGGAATTTGACTACGCTTAAAGAAGAGAAGCTAATTAAGTATATTCTCGACCTAGATTCCCGATCATTCCCTCCCCGCATTAGAGGTGTGGAAGAAATAGCTAATCGACTGCTCGCCGACCGCAACGCGCCCCCAGTTAGGAAGCGCTAGGCTTCGAACTTCGTCAAGCGACAACCACAGCTCCAGACGCGCTTTTTTCGCAAGTACGACTACAAGAGGGCCCAATGCGAAGATCCAAACGCCATAAACGCATAGTTTCGCCTTATGGCGAACACAATCGCGAAATATGGTATTGTAGACTCTGATATCTATAACTTTGATGAGACTGGGTTTATGATGGGCCAGATTGCATCTGGGATGGTCGTCACGAGCGCCGAAAGGCGTTCAAACACGAAAATGATGCAGCCTGGTGACCGTGAATAGGTTACAGTCATTCAGGCCATTAGTTCGTCGGGCTACAGCGTCCCGCCGTATATCATCGTTGCAGGCCAATATCACCTCTCCACCTGGTACACGGAAACCAATCTCTCACGCGACTGGGTCATTGCAACGTCTGACAACGGATGGACAACAAACGAAAGAGGCCTAGATTGGCTCCAGCACTTTGATCGGCATACAAAACTGCGTGCAACTGGCAGTTATCGCCTCCTCGTCGTCGATGGGCATGAAAGTCACCACGCTGCCGACTTCGAGATATATTGCAAGGAAAACAATATCGTCACACTCTGTATGCCGGCCCATTCGTCTCATCTGCTTCAGCCCTTAGACGTTGGGTGCTTTGGGCCACTAAAGACGGCTTATGGTCGACAAATTGAGGATAAGATGCGCCGGGGTAATACGCATATTACAAAGGAAGACTTCTTCCCTGCGTTTCGCGAGGCTTTTGCCCAAGCTATTACGGAAAAGAACATTCAGGGAGGTTTCAGAGGGGCTGGGCTTGTCCCTTTGAGTGCCGAAAGTGTGCTTTCAAAGCTTGATATCAGGTTACACACTCCAACACCTCCAGGATCCCTCCCAACAACACCCCCTGCGTGGACTTCTCAGACGCCAAACAACCCAACAGAAGCATCTTCTCAGTCTGAACTCATCAAAAGGAGGATCTCCCGCCATCAGAATAGCTCACCAACTTCAATTATTGAAGCTGTTGAGCATCTATCAAAGGGGGCGCGTGGATTTATGCACCAGATTGCGTTATTAAGGTCTGAGAACAAAATCCTTCGTGAGGAAAACAACCTACTAAGCCGGCGCCGGAGGGCTAAGAAAACACGTCTCAGACAAGGAGGAAGTCTTACTATAGCTGAGGCTGAGGACCTTCAGTCGCAGAGAGAAGCAACAGCTCAGATCGAGGAGGAAACACGCCGGAGTAGTGGTCGCCGACCGAGGACCGAGACGGGCCAACGGCGATGTGGCGTCTGTGGGAACACTGGTCATAATGCACGAACATGTCAATTTGCTGAAGAAATGTCTGAAGAAGAGGATCTTAAATAGTTTTAATTGAATTACTTTTCTTAGTGCTGCGTATCGGTCGCAAATGTGCTGTGGTCGCGGTCGGCTGATCCACTCGCTTGTCTGATCCACTCGCTTATCAACCACGTTAATGATTAGTTATACAATATTAACCTTAATAGATTAACTTACCTATAGATAAAGATGGCCCCTAATGAGGCGGACCGGACCCCAAAGGGCTATCTCGTATTATATATCTCTAATCTGGACCCTGTTCTACTTACTTAGATTCAGCGGCTGTAGGGTGCGTATATAAGTGATAATGTATAATAACTTGAGAGGATTCGGTAAGACTGCGCCTATAATCTGGGCTAGACGATGTGTCCTCGATGGAGCTAGCTTGGCACTATTTGTCTTTTTCAAAAAAATTTTTTTTTGCAGATTCGGTACCTCTAGGAAAGCGAGGCAGAGTTTGTGAACGCCGATGATAGCTATCGCTATCCGACTCTTGCCCTGTCCCATCGGATGGGCGCATAAGACACCGTACAACATCGCAAGATCCTTAACCCCCAATGGTAATAAGGAATTAAGGAAAGACATCGACGGCCTGCCACGGGAGGAGCGTCAGCTTACATCCCGCGATTTGGGCTTCGTCGGTATCGCTCCGATAGGCTTGGTCGTACAAAAAGAAGTTACGAGTCCTCACCTAGAGAACGCCTTAGTGGCCTCCTCATCACTACTGTATTTATGTTCAACGAAGAATAGACCGTGAGTGGTATCCGAGACTGAAAGCTATTATGCTTCTAATAATAGAAGAAGGTCGAAAGGTAGTGTTTAGTAGTAAGATAATCTCATAACAACAGCAGCCCCCTTTGCCTCGCTTGCTCACCACCTGCAACATTCCTCAACCGCATGCTACCGTCAATAATGGCAGTCCTTGACTGGCGTCCTTGCCTACTACACAGCTAAGGGACGGGATTGAGCCTTTTATATCCATGCAGGAGGGGAGTGTGCCGGTTCTACTTTCAAGATTCCTTTTCAGAAGCCTGGAGGTATAAATCACTCTCTCCTTCGTCTCGATGATTTACGAGAATAGCAGCGGCAAGTGGCCTCGCATTCTGTGGGCGGACGATTTGAGTTGGTCTCACTAGCTATTACGAGGGATGGAAGCAAGCCTCGTCGTCTCATCCTATATCAGGGTAGCGTATCTAAGCACCGAACATCAGGCGTGGGCGGTACACCAACCCAACGCCTTTAACCTGCTCGACGATGTTCCTATGAGAATACGACGCGGAAGAAGAAGAGGGATCCAGGACTGGAAGCGGGCAAGTGCGTAGATAGGGGCAAAGCGAGTACCTTACTTGACAAGTATCAGTTTCATCATTAACAACGAGGAGGACATGCTCGTAGTGAGGCAAGAAGTGCAAGCCACTGCCAGGGTCAAAGGCAAGGGCAAGGGAAACTGCTTGGGACAAAAGTATTTCGACCGTTTCGCATCTATTGGAGAGGTACTTATACATGCTCCCCCCCACCCCTCTTTCCCAAGCTACCGTTTTCCTTCTTCCTGTAGACTCTAGATGCCTTGACATACAATAGACATCGAGGCTGCCCATTCTCCCTTTGTAGCCAAGGTGAGATGAAGTACGGGTTTTGTGCCTCTGCCTAGAGCTTGATTTGGTGACACGTCCTGCCCTGGGAACCCCTCATCTCTTTGGTCATTATGTGTCAAGAGTCGATTGCTTATACGAATGTGTTTGGTGCTGCCGCTGTAGGCAGTTGGAAGTCATGTTAGCCGCTTGTCCCAGAATCACAAATCGTCCGTCTTACCGTGGAATCCACCAGTAATTATCAAGCGTATCACGAAAGTCCATGGAAACTCATCTTGCCCAAACCAGGTCTCATTAGTCTATGATCCAGCCGCCATAGCCCTCATCATGGTGTTTTTACAAGTACACAAAGGTCCTCTGGAACGCCATTCCCCGAACGGCGACAGCTTCCCCTTGTGCTGTGTTTGACAGATTTCTTTTTTTGATTTCGTCTCATTCTGTCGTAATGCCCTTGGCTCTACTCATCGTCTTGCTGTCAGGACCCATTCACGCCTCGCTGTCGAAACCTACTCCTCCATCTTGTCGTCCTCCTTCTTGTCCTCATCATCGTCATCATCGCCCTCAAGTGCCTTCTTGGCAAACTTCTCCGCCTCCTCGCGCAGCTCCTTGGGCACCTCCTCGTGACGACCCTTGGTAGGGCCGTCGATATCACTGATCCAGCTCATCTCGAGCTCAAACTCCTTGTCCTTGTTGTCGTCGTGGGCGACGTAGATGATGCGAGCAGCCTCCTTAACGGCGTCCTCCAACGTCAGTCCGCCTTCGGCGAGGTCGAGCTTCTCGAGCTCTGCCTTGGCGGCTTGACGGCCCTTGCCAGTAGCAGCACCGTAGTAGCCCCAGTAGAGACCTGAAGGCTCGATCATGTAGAGGAAGGGACCGCCGTGCTTCTTGGTGGTGTCCTTGCCGCCGGCACCGACCTTGGGGCCAGAGCCGACTTCGCCGTCGACAGGGGTCTCGGTAGAAGGGTCGAAACCACCGACAATTGCGGTAATGCCGAAGGGACGGACTGAGGAGTAGAGGGTGTAGGCTTGGAGGTAGCCGCCCATGCGGGCTGCGAGGTCGGCGGTGGAGATGGGGGTCTTGAAGGTCTCGCGCCAGCCGCGGGCTTCTTCGCGGGCGCGGTCGACGAAGTGGCGGCCATCGGGGATCATGCCTGAGTAGACCTTTTGATGCGTCAGTCCGACCAATAGAGCAAGAGGCATGTAAATGGGCAGGTCGTGAGGTTTGGTGAAGCTGCTCTCGGAAGCTACGATGCATTTCGAAGCAGGGGAAGGGAGGGGTAAACTGATTGCGGGAGGGGAATGGATGACTTACAACACCGAGATGTCTGTCAATGGTAGCAATACGCTTGTTGGCATTGGGCTTCCATAACTTGGATGCAATAATCTTTTCGACAGCGAGGACGACACCACCCTTGCACCGGATACCGATGGATGTGCCACCGTTCTCAACGGCCTTGACGGCGTACTCGACTTGGAAGTTGCGGCCGTCGGGGGAGAAGATAGAGTTGCTCAGGTCATAACCTGTGCCTATCGACGTCTACACAAGGTGGGAAAGGCATCATGTTAGTGTTGTGCTACAGGTATAGAGTCAAGGTTGGGTTGGTCGGTTCCGGTAGCTCATGCCAACCCCCGGTCGCTGGAGGTCGTGATTCCCCGGATACCTAGCAAGGGAAAGCTTACCATTGTGAATTAGAAGAGCTTGGGGTATTCGGAGAAAGCTTCGGATGTGTAGTCTTGAGGGCTGGAGGGTTCGTTGGGCGTCGAAAGGAGTCGTGATGGGGTGGAGGTCGTAGGCACGTTGTCTGGTCGTGGAAGAGAGCTCGTGTGGTGGATGACGATGGCGGGACGTGGTTTGGAATTGGGGAATCTGGAGCCTTGAGATCAGAGCTTCAGGCAACCTGAGCTGCGTGTTGCTGCGCGAGGTTGACGGGCGAGGCTAGACGCAAAGATGCCTCAGGTTGAAGAGGGAAGCTGGGGGTAGATCCACACTGAGGCGGGAGGGAAGGAATCAGCCACTTTAAAGGTGTGGCTGGCGCCGAGGTGCTGTGGCTGGTGGAAAGACCGGCTTCCCGTCATCGTGAACACCAAATCTGACAGGGGAATTAAAATAACCCCACCATCCCGCACTTGACCCTGCAGTGGTGTGCAGCTGCCAGGTGCTGTAGAGGGGTTATCGAGAGGTGAGAGGCAACGTGAAATCACATGGAGGAACAACGACTTGATGCACCAGCTGGGCACTTCTAATTCGAGAGTAAACGGCTTTTGGAAAGGCGCTCGATTTGTACGTTTTCTCACTGTGCAGGATCTGTGTACAGTCGTCTGGCTTGAGGGAGCTGCCGGAGACAAGAAATCGTGGAAGCGTTTGGCATGACTCCTAAACTCTTTGGTACCGATAGTACGGTGACTTAGGGAGGTCCAGGCCCGGATGGATCCGGCGAAACGAGTGTTGGGACGGGGTTTCGAGGAGGAGCGGTGAAGACTGGACTAGGATCCCGAGACTTTGTTAGAGGAAGTCGAGTATGGACGTAAAGTGTTGAGGATTCTCTGGCACGTAACAAACGCGAAAGTCAGTCTGGAGTAATAGTAGAGGTATCGAGTATTTGCACTGAGTTCGAGGGTTATCATCACCACGTCCTGTCGAAGACTGACTGTCCAAGGGAAAGGTATTACAGAGTGCGCATATGATGGCGGGTGGGCTCGAGTGTGTCACGGGAGACTGATTTGATACCTCCGTAGTCTTCCAGAAGCTGTGTGGACTGATCGTGTCACGGAACCATTGGGTGAGGAGTGCGGATCTTGGAGAGAATATGTTTCAAGTTGGACGCTTGCTGCCGGGCTCTCTGCCAGGGCATGTGTGCATGGCCATGTCTATGGGTTAGCCAAAGTGTCTTTACCCACCATTACACCTAGGATCAAATGTCATTGGAGATGTACCCATACATCACATAGGAGGTAAGGTATCAATTTCACGTACAACTTGACTGGTCATCGGCCATACTCACAGGAATTAACATGAACCACAAATGAACCATGCATGCTCATGAGAAGCACAGGCATTTCAGGTAGCTATTCATTCCTGCCTGATCAAGGGAGCATTTGGGTTGGGGCCCTGGGACTTTGGGCCAGGTCGGCTAGCGTTGGTTGGCGCGAATGTTGGTTGGTGATGAAAGTGGTGATGTGTGGATGCAGAACGCTGCACCGGAGACGGGATCCCATGGGATGGGACGAAAAAAAAAAAGACAAGAGACGGCCCGGCTTCAGTGGGAAAGTGCGCTGAGAGACAGAAGCGTCGGGTCACATTGCCCTCCCATAGTTGGGCTTGCTGCGTCATGACCCTGCCCTCTATCGCTAAAATTGCCCCTCCTTCCTAGCTAAGCCAATTTCCCCCTGCCAGGATTCCCCCTCCCCCTAGTGCGGCGTGCCTGCCGCCCTCCACTTCTCTCCCCCCCCTCCTTCCAGGTTCCCCCTACCCGCCCGGAAAATGGCTGTCACTCCTTCTGCCATATAAAATTACAATCCTCACTTTTCACCCTCAACATTCTTGGTTCTTTTCTCTTTGCAAAATATCACCACCACTGGCTATTCGCATTACCTGGCACGAAAATCATCAACTATCGATTTGCTACGCCCACCAGAGTGCCGCTGCTGTCGCCCCCGCAAGATTCGACAACGACAACGAAGAACCCTCACCCCACCACTAACCCGCTCCCACTGCATCCGCTGACCTTGCCGCACCACTTCACATCCACACAGTCTCCAACCCCGGCACCACTACTGCTGTCCTCCTGCCCAAGGAATCACCGTACCGAACCCGATTCACGAAACCCCTCGACCGTTGCCTCCCTGTGACTCTTCGCTGTCGCTTTCCTTCTTTTCTCGAGTTTCTTGTGCTCTTATTTCTGCTTTCAACAAAACCCCAAGAAGAAGAAGAAACCCCCGAGAGTACCTCCATAGAGTAGCCAATATAAAGAAACACTTCTCTTCTGCTACCACTGTCCGAACCCCCGAAACCGATTACCAAGCCAAGAAACAAAGCATCAAGGAGACAGCACATTTCTGTCTTCTTTGCTCCCACCCCCGACAAGATTTACTTCTACAGCAAGCAGCTTTACGACGAAGGGCCTTTTCAGGCTTTTCAATCACCAGATCCCCAACAAACAAAAAGGCAAGTTTTTTTCCCCCTCATCTCACAGACTCTCATCGCCATCGGCCCCTTCATCATCATTCAAGCCCGGAGCCCCGCCGGGCTTTTATCGGAGATGGCCCCTCCGCGGTATCGGGAGTAACACGGAACAAGACCCGACGACAATGAACCACTACTAACATCCTGTACAGCGAGATGGTTTCCTTCACCCCCACCATGCAGGTCCAAGATGATCTCGCAACCCTCTTCTCCCGCAACTTAACCTTCAACACTGAAGTCCAGCCCAAGGAAGAAGAGGAAGTCAAGCAGTCCCCGGAACCCGCCCTTGCCAGTCCCGCCCCAACACCGGCGCCCATCATCTACTCCATCACTCAGCATTATACCCACTCCGCCCACGTTGTGCGTCAGCAAGCCCAAGAAGCCCCTATTCAACGCCCCTCCTCCGAGCCTCCCCAGACCGAGCAGTTGACTCCCGAGGCCGTCCTTAGCCAACACGGCGTCGACCCTTCAGTCCTCTCTCCTTCTCAGATTCAGCTTTTCCGAATTTCCGAAGAAGCCCACCAGCTGCGACTTCTTGAGATCTGGCGCGCCGCACCCCCCACCTCGAGCACAGAGAACCCGTCGCTAGCATGGACAAGCACAACACTCGAGCAAGAGGAGCAGCTGGCGAGACTCCGATATGAGCGCATGGAAGCAGAGAAGCAGCAACAGGAGCAACAGCAGCAGCAGAACGCCGTCATGAGCCTCGACGGTACCCAAGTTCAGTCAGACGATAGCCGCTGGCTGGCAAGTTCCATCACCTCGCAAGTCGAGCCGTATATGATGTCTGGCTACGAGGAGCTTATGCGTCGTGAGTACGAGCGCGAGCAGGAGCTGGCGCAGGCCTCTCCCCCTAACAACTATTCCCACTACGGCTCTGCAGTCGGCACCAGCGGCTATAAGCCGGCTACCGACCCCGTCTACAAGGGCTTTGGCGACGACTGGGCCCGCGAGCAGAGCCTCCAGATGCAGATGCAGATGGAGAACCAGTATGGTGCCTTCCAGCACTACGGAAGCGGCAACATCGAGGCCATGGATATGTAACGCGATGACAAAAGAAAGCCACGGCACACTACTTTTTCAGCATAGCAGCAGACACTTGTCTTGTCACTTACACTGCATGGGAAGACAACGTCGGATAATCAGAGGGGCAGCTATTGGATTGCCTCTCACCGGCAGACGTGTTTCTTCCCCAGTTTTCTTGTCTTTGATTTTCTATTTTTGTCAAGAAGGTTATGAATAAGCAATTGGCCGCATACCAATAGGCAGGCATGAGGAACGAATAGGACTACCAAAACAATAAAACATTACATACAAACTCAAGCTAATTGATGATGGTGACGTGGTGAAAGGAACATGGTTGCTAGCATTCCGACGATGATGTACTACGGTGTTCCGAGGCTCTGTCTTATGTCTCACTTCGGAACCTCTTTTCTCTTATCTGGGGTAAACTTTGTTTTTCTGTGTGCTGCCCATGAATGCTGTGGTACGAAATGGTAGAGACGACGAGGTCTACGAGGTCCTTGAAGGACTGTGAGACGATTTCTCTTGAGGAGCCTTCGAGTTGGTGTATTTTGGTTTCTCATAGCTTACCTTTGCCGAGTCTTGCCTCTCATCACATGATGGCCCGGCTTCCTAGGTAGTTTACTCAACCTGAGGGGTCCAATGAGGAAGGTAGGTAGAGCATAGTAGCAGCAACTATTCACATGTCCAAGCTTGGTTGAAGTAAATCAAAATCAAATTATTGATATACCTTGGTACCAAGGTATATCAGGTCTACGTATCATACATCATATGCCATACTATTCCTCTGGCGTTTTGCATATTGCCCTTTTTTTTTGTCTCCCTCAAAATAATTTGCCTCCCATAGAAGAGACTTGAATCTCCTCGTGGCGAACTAGCCTGGTTGGTTTCCCCCGTCTCCATGAGTCAATTCTCTCTCGCATGTTCCCCCATTTCCTTAAAAAAGCCAAGTAGTGGTGGTATCCTGTACGCCGGGTATATGTTGTCGTCGATAATTAGGTATGTTGTGTTATGTTTTGTCTAAATAGTGATGAGAAAGCGGTAGAGGCGGCCTATCGTTTATTGCCCGGCTGACCGGGGTGCTCCGCCATTCTAGACGAAAGCCACTGCGCCGAGTCCATACCTCCAGGGACGTTGATCTGCCACGCACTCGGGGGAGGGCTAGGCATGGTAAAGTCCCCAGGGGAAGGCGGCGCCAGGAACTGCGAGCCGCGCGTGTAGTGGCTGCTGGCTCTCGTCGTCCGACTATATCGGTTGTCGAACCTGCTGTGGCGCGGGTTCGTGTTCGTGTACGTTTCCATGGTCATTCTGCTGTCTCGGTAGTGGTGGTCTGGGCTGTTGAGGGTGCTCAGCCTGCTCGTTCGGTTGTTGTTATCGTGGGCGTTGCTGACGTTGCTCAGCCTGCTCATTCGGTTGCTCGGGGGGTGGTTTGTGCCGTCGTAGTTGTTGACGCCCAGAGTGAGGGCTGAGTGAGTCGAGTCGCGGTTCTCTCGGTTGAAGGAGCCGAAGCCCATCGATATGGCCGACATGCGTGGTGAACACCAATTCACTGTCGGCGCGGGTGATCTCACTTTCGGTGACAAGTGGACGCCGTCTTCTAGCTCAATCGAGTGGTCTCCCTGCTGCGCAACTGTTAGTTCTCGTCTGGTCCAATAAAGGAGTAACGTCAGGAGACGAGGGGCTTACTTCGCGGGGTGATGGACAGAGCCATTGACCACCATCGCCGCCGTCGTCGCGGGGGATGACCAAAGACTCTACGTCTTCATCGTGTCTTTCTCTTCCGTACGCGATGTTAAAGTCCTTACTCAAGCCACTCCGTCTCGTCGGTGCCGAAGAGCTGTAGGCATCTTGGGAGCGAGCAATGCGAGGTACCTCAGCTTCAAACTCGGCCCGGATATCAGCCTCGATCTCTTCAAGGGGTGCGTCGTCTGGCACCGGGTGTCGTGGGTGACGAGGATCTGAGCCGTCGCTGCGAACATAACTCGGCTGCCCCTTGAACCGTTCTCGCCATGCTATCTGACGAGGGGCTTGAGACCGCATACCCGCACGGTACCAAATGAGTTGCCACAAAGGACGAAGGGTGGCGATCGATGCGGCAGTGATGCCGATGCCGGGCTCGACGGTGCTCCACAAAGCCACGTCGGTAGTCGCCCATAGGAAGTCGTCGCCATCGAGGAGGGTCGGTATGTATACGGATCTTGCCACGGTTGCGGCGGATCCGATGGCAGCAAAAGAGAGAATGCCGAACGCTAGGAGTCGGGTGCGCTTTGGGAGGGAGAGCGACCAGACAATGAATAAGGGGAGGATGCCAAAGGCCCAGTCGGCGAGGCAGTTGATAATCGAGGCCGTGAAAGTCATGATTATAACCACGCGGTTGTTGAAGCACTTTCCTTTCGTGCGTGGTGATTCCTCCCAAAATGTTTGAATTGGCCGGCACTGAAACATGACCATGAAGAAATACGTCGAGCCGAAAAGTACGGTGCCGATCATGAGAATGCGGAGCATCCAGATGTGGCTGCGGCGAATAGACACACGGATGAGGAAGTACCCGACGGAGATTTTGAGAAGGCAGGTCGATATGATGTAGAGTAGTTCGCAGATGTACCAGTACTAGAGAGGGTGTTAGTCGTGGATCTGCTAGCCGCAAATATCTCAACTCGAGGGCTTCCAAATGGGCCATACCATGAGGGCCTCTCGATTATGTTCCGGGGTGAGATCAGTTCTATGTCGGCCGGTTCCGTATCGAACTCCTTGAATTTGCGTGATGAGGTAGATGGTGAAGATGAGCTGCCAACAGAGTTAGTCAAAGTGTACTTCTTTCTTTTCGCATAATCTCTTGTAGGGAAATACCATACCATGAGAGCAATCATCATCTTGTCATCTGTGCCGAGAGAGCGTGTAACCCAACCCCGGCAGTATATGCGCAGGCCGACGGCGATCCAACATAATATGAAGAAGAGGACCGCCACGGCCAGCACTTGCCCGCTGCGATCCTCCATGATGGGATCGAAGCATCCACGAATATTCCCTTAGTAGGCAGTGTTGTTTCGTTCCTTCTTTCACGTGAGAGTCATGACGAGGGTGACATTGGATCGTCGTTTACAGCTTGGTAAAGTGGGATGTGCAGAGTGTGATCCAAGTCGACGGGACAAGACCGGGGGAGACAGAGAGCGGACGACGGGAAGAAAGATGGACCCTAAGGGTCAAGGGAGGGGCTACTCGATATACATATCAAGAACGTCTCAACCGAAGTGGCAGACAGGTTTAGGGGTAGCCTCATATCTCGATGTACGAGCCCGTCTTAAGAATAGCTTAGTGTCCCGGGTGTGGAGAGCCGGGCGACCTGAACACACGAGTCTAGACAACGGTAGCGGGCGGGACCATCGTCACTGAACGCTCGTCCAACAAGGTCCGAATACAATCTCCGACGCCCTCGAGGATCTTGGAAAAGCGGCTCATGTGTTGGGGAGAATCCATGTGTGTATGGTGAAGAGACGAGATCAATGGTGGGACGAAGCTGGCGAAGGCTCTTGAATTGCTGCGTAGCTCGGAGGGGTGGGAGGCAACCTTGGGATCTATCCAAAGGTCGACAGGGAACGGCCTTGAAGGCAACGACATGTTCGCCAGTCAGAAGCGCAGGAAAAACGCAAGTAGCGTCTTGATTGAGATAGGGTTTCCATCTAGCGGCTCAAATGGCGTCTCTGGCGAACAGACGCTAAAGCGTGGTAGAAGAGGTGAGGGCAAGGAATCATCAGGTCAATGGGGCCACGAAGCTGGAACCGGCTCGGAAACGGGCGACCATGCGGCTCGAGCGTTGGGTTGCGTGGTTGCTGTGCGGCGCGCTCGAGCCCTGGTCGTCGCCGTAGATCGTAGAAGAGCGGGGTGAGCGCTTGGCTTGCTGGTTTAGTTTCTTTTGGGTATAAACCAGGTACGACTGGTCTGTTTTTGGCATAGGATCTCCTATGTTTCAGGCCGACAGTTGAGAGGCTGGGTGGTGGTGGTTGTGGTGTATGGAAACATTCTTTGTATGGTACGGATATAGACGAAAAGATAGGAGAGGTGGACTGATTATCTTGGATCCGACGACAGAGTCGAGTCAAGACTGTTGTCGTGCCTGTGACTGACTGGCTGGCTGACTGTGATGGATTCCAACAATGGAAGTATCATCGAGGGTTGTTGCTGATGGTGTTGGTGTGTTGGTGTAAGTGTTGTAAAAGCCTATCGCCGCTACGTCAAGGGGACGAACCACCGAGCGATACTTGATCTTCTGTGCCAAAAATCATCATGCAGCCATGATGCCATTGGAAGGGACGAAACAGAGTTACGAGGTGCAGAGGGACAGGAAACGGCCTCTCGCACTTGCGCAGGGTCGCGACATGTTTGACGGGAAACGTTAACCGCATTGGGCCTTTCCTCCGGTGCTCGAGGACGATGGTGTGAAGATATGGAATGGAAACAACTATACCCGTATGATGAATCTGTCACGGCCGGCTGTGAAGTACACACACATTCAGGGAACCTCGTCCCCCGATGCACGACGCACGACGCACGACGCACGATGCAGCACACTGACACCTTCAACATTATGGTCTCCTATTGTACTTTGTACGAGAATTTGCATTGATGGATAATCTACGTAAATGACGAGACTGGCTGCAGCTTCATGACGCATCATGCACCTCTGGGTCACTTATCTGATCCTCAAGACCAACCAAGGTCACAAAACCCGTCAGAGGGTTCAGAGAGGGCCTGCCGTCAAGCTCTATTCATCAGCCATTTCTTGGATCAATGCCTCAACGCTTCTTGTTCTTGCGCTTGTTGGACTTGCCTCCAGTCTGCGCACCAGAAGCCTTGGCCTTGCCCAAAGAATCGGTCGATTTCTCCAAGAGCTCAAAGTCATCGGCGGCAGAGTCGGAGCTGGGGGTGTGTTGGATCTCGCCGTCATCAGAGTCCAGGTCCTCGGTGTCGATCTCCAGCTCAGCATTGTTCTTGCCGAGGGCGCGACCGACAGTGCGGTTGTAGGCCCAGATGGGGAGACGTACGAGTGCGGTGTCACGGATGGTGGGTTGAGGCAGTTCGTCGGGCTACTTTGAGTTAGCATCGTTCGCAGACCTCGTGTCGCGGTAGGTTGTCAAGCTTAGCTTGCATTCTAGGCACTTACATCAAGGAGCCATTGCTCGGTGTTGCCATCCTCATCCTGCTCCTCGAGGTAGACGTCTCCGAGGGAATCAACCACAAGCATCTTGCCATTCTCGGCGACAACGCGCTTCTTGGAGCCGGTGGGGCCGGTCTGACCGGTCTGCGCAACCGTCTCCCGTGGGGTGGCGGTACCGCTGCCGCTGTTGCTGCGGGCGGCGGGAGCGGGCTTGCGGGATCGGCCTCCGCGCTCCTTGGCGGCCTCTCTACGAGCCATCTGTTCCTGCATACGTCTCTCCTTGCGGTTTCTAGGCAGCTGGGGGCCCTCCTCATCGTCGGCGGCGGGCGCAGCAGGAGCAGGGGCGGGAGAATCGTCGATGCCAGGAATGTTCAAGTTGTCTCCCCATGCAGCATTACGCGCGAACTTGATGTAACGTTCGACAAAGTCCTTCTGACGCTTCCAGGACATGTACAGAGCGATGTAGTGGAAGGCACCTCCAGCTACGAGGAAGACACCGAAGAGCACAGTGCCCAAGCCAGGGCGGTACCGATTGTAATAGTAATTGGTGCCCTTCCAGGCTGGGAAGCCGTTCTTTAAGAAATGATCGTAGCGGTCGCGGTCGGGACCGCTGATGATGTTGCGCACGAGACTGAGGCGGCCCTGACGCTCGGAGGCAATCTTGACAGCGGCCTTGATCTCCTTCTGAGTGGGAGGCTTGGAGACATTGACGCTGGGGGTCTTCTTCTCCTTCTTCTTGGCCTTGGTGCGTTCGGCGATGAGCTGCTGGCGGACTTTATCAGGGTGGAGAGTGCGGGAGATCTTGCGGTAGGCCTTGGTGATCTCGTCAATGGAAGCGCCGTTCTTGACGCCGAGGAGGTCGTAGAAGGTCTGTTCGGGGTTGGCCTCGTGGGCCTTGATCTCATCGCGGATACGGAAAATCTCACGATCTGTTATTAGTCCATGTTAGCAAACGCTGCGCAACGGAGACAAGACAGGATGGCGATGCTCTTACCCTCCTTGCTCCAGGCCGCAGCCAGGGGCGAGACGACCAAAAGGCCAAGGGACAGAATGCTGCTGAACTTCATCTTGTCGTTGCCGAGTCCAGTTGAATCCTAATGAAAAGGGAAGGCGGCGCGCAATGGCCGGAGGGTAAAGGAGTATCGGGTTCGAGAAAGCGCAGCTGTGGATGGATGCCAGGTGTTGTTAGCTTCAGGTGAGCTTTCCTCTCGACGTGGGGAACCATAGGTGGCCTGGAGCTGCCAGCAAAGCAACAACAACCACGTACCTCGTTTCTTTCCTTCCCGAGTATCCTCCTGACTCGTCGTCTCGAATTGACAGTATCCCGTCCGATAGGAATCTGTCGAGTTTCTGCAGAAGAGAAGAGGAAATTTTCTCCCACAAGATTGCGAATGGGAAATGTGGTCTCTCTGGGGGAGATTCTGGATGAGGTGGAATTTCCCGTGGACAAGGTAACTTTTTTTTTTTTTTTTTTTTGGCTGCTCCGGCCGGGGGTGGAAAGCAGCAGCAAAGCGAAGGCAAAAGGGTCGCAGGCGTCAGGGGATCCCGCCCTCCTGCTGCATCTGCAAAGAGGGCCCCGACTGAAAGGAGAAGGTTCCGACCTCTGCGGGCAGGGATTCTTGCGCCTTCACGAATCGCACCAATCCTCGTTGGGCCTAGACTGATCCAGATCTCGCTCCCTTAATTGTGTGGGTTTGATGTCTTATGTAAGGCAGGTAGGTATGTGCTGACCAGCTGAGGTAAGCTTTCTGAATTGTCAAAGGTGTCGTTTGGCCGCATCTGTCCATCTCCAGTGCATCTTCACGTTGGTTGGCCAAGTCGATCAGAGAGTGCCCGTAGGACATCATCGATGGTTTTGATGGTGTTGATGGCGTCGATTGCATTGATGGGTATTCTGCAACGACTGCTTGACATGTGAGCTGTGGTTCAAGGTTAGCAAATGAACGATGAGGTCAGGGGAGTACAAAAACTTAAGCTTATATTTCCTACTCAGAAGTGGGTAAGGAACAGTCTTCAAAGGAGACGTTGATGAGAAAGTGTATTCTCTAGTACTCTTCCTCCATTGGCTCAGGTTTGATGTGAGTTGGCAATAACAGTCAGCTGGCGATGGCTCGAAAGGGGGAAAAGACGAAGGCAGGGTGAGATGAGATGTGGTGAGGCGAGGTGAAAGATGGAAGGAAGGAGTCGAGATTCCAGAGTGGATACCTTCCTGCTCTCTTTTCTCTACCTGGGTACCTTCGGTTCTCCTTCTCCTCTCTTTCCTCTTTATTCATTATTCACTTTCGAGCTGAGGTACCTTATCACTGGACCTTCCTTGAAATTCGGTGCATCGGCCATGGAGCTGCCCAGAAGTTCCTTGACATGGAGCCAAACCTGTTCAATTCTCCCCCTTCTGCATCTCTGCTCCCATCCTGACACCAAGTGCGCCCAAGTCTCCTAGCAAAGTATCCGACTAAGATAGATGAATACATCAAGGAGCAAGCCCCAATGGGGTGGCCTGCCCCAGGAGATCAGAGATATGGTTCTCGAAAACATTACTGGAAGACTCGCATGCATCTGCAGGGACTGGCAGAAAGCCATCGAGCCAAGAAACTTTCGGATCCGCCAAGTCGGTTCTGATGAACATTCGTTTACCAACCTACGCATGTCATTTCATAACAAGCCCTGGCGGCAAAGCTACGTTAGACACATCTGGTTCAAGATCGAATTACCGGACCATTGCATCGAGAAGCGTTCAAGACCTCAGACTGATGAAGAGATCAACGAGGACCGTATATGCTTTGCCATCGCCATATTCACCCTATTCTATATTCTCGAAGCCTAGAAGGATGTCGATTCAGCTGGCGAACCAACATGCCCAAGCATCAATTTGGAGATCAGTGCCTCTTCGCCAAACCATGCGGGCAATCCGTGCGGAATAGAAGGGCTTTTGGACCACTGGCAGCAACAAAAGCGATACGTGTTTGCTGCCATTCGCCTTGCGCATGCCGGTAGTCCCTGCGTCAACTGCATCACCGGGTTGAGCATCCTGCGTCGAAATATGCGCAGAATACAGTTAGCCCCTCTTGCATCGTTAATGTCCGATTGTCTACCAAGAGTACGCATGATTCATCTCGAACCCTGGAGGCATCTTAACACAAGGGAGCAGAACCTATCCGATAATGGTACAGTAGCAAAACCTAAACCGCCTTCTGCTTCATCTTCTCGCATGACATGAGAAACTCACTGATTTCTGATATAGACTTGATGACGATGCTAGCAATTTGGTCATCTCCCCCAGAGGAAGCACCATTATCAAAGATCCACATCTTCGAGCATGGCGATCTACACATGCTTTCCAATCGACGTCTATCAGTCTCGAGAGATTTAGCCGGAGCTCTATTCATTCGAAGTCTCGAATTAGAGGAGCTCGTCTGCTGCAACATCATAGATGCCACGAACTTCTTCGCCGCCTGCACGAGACGAAGACGCATACCTATATCGCCTCCGCCATGGCAGCGCCTGCGGGTTCTGACGATGACGTCCCAGAATATTTCCTCCCGTGAGAAGCCCGAGCTCATCAACGCCCTCATATCCCAAGCTGGCAGGGTCGCGAAGCAGATGCCGGCACTCCGTGCAATGGAACTATACGGCGCCTGGCGAGAATCCGCCGGAATTTTCCAATACCTCGTCACCGGCAGTTTTGCAAAGACCAGTTGGGTGAGCATGTGGAAGTTCAAGCTGGGAGACGAACCCAAGCAGATCTGGGGGGACGTCACGCAGCTCAGGGAGGATCGGCTGGTACTCCATTTCGCACCCGAAAGGCACCTGCGTACTTATCGCAGCCCATCCCACTTTGTGCACCAGTGGTTGGTGACTCGGTGTCTGGCTCTCCATTCCTCTTCATCCGCAGCACTTGGACACCACGACCTCCCGGATCCTCTTCGTCGTATTCTAGGACCTCGAGGCATTTTCTAAACTTCTAAATAAAGCAAAGAGGGAACGACTTGAGGCTGCCAGAGGGGTGGCCAACAATACTCTACCGGAGCTTTCGAGAACAATGGGCTCAGGGAATGCAGGGGCTTCTTCTGGTGGTTTCTTTCTTGCGGATCAATGTGGCAAGGGAAAAGATCTTTGACAAACTTTGACAATCGGGTCCCATTCGAAGCTTTGTCTGCCTTCGTCTTCAACAAGCGGTCATTGTCCCGGCTGGCCGGGGCCTCAGCAAGAACAACTGCCAAGAGCACAAGCGTTTCTTTCAACCCTCGTTAAGTTGCCAATTTTGGCTGGAGTACTAGAAGAGTGGTGAGCGGATAAATAACAATAAATGAACCCTTTTCTGTCAGCTGCGCAATCAGACCAAATAGTCAGTATCAACACTAAGAGCACAGTACTATTTACCAATTTTACAACGACGTCACCTACCTCAGAGCAAGTTCAATTATCACCGACGAGACCCGATCTCCGATATGTGCATCAACTTATGGCGCAGGTATTATTGCACGAAGCCATCTGGATATACGACGAACAATGGCGAAACTAAAAGACACCCTCTGCCGGACGGAAGAATTCATGGCCATCGTCTGGTAAAAGAAGAAGACAATGTCTACAGAGAGAACACTGAACGTGATTTCCAAGAAGTACCGTACGGAAAGCTTATCCACTGGGTCAACAACTTGGTTCGATGCGCCCATCTACACGCAAAGGATTGCACAACGGGGCGTTGTCGAGGAGGCTTGGTTCAGATAATGGACGGAGAGTGCTACTTCTGTACCGGCAACATCGATGCGTACTTTGAGAGCCCCGACGAAGTCTTGCAATCGATCCCGGCTGACAACAAGGTTCCGGGCCCAGGGGCCAACTTGAGCATCATCCACACTCACGACTTCATAGTCTACCGCGAGAATTACCTCCGTCAGCTGCTCAGACTGACCTTGACGGTGCTATCGAAACCGTTTCCCGTGGAAGCCGAGACCCGGGAGTGGGAAATGGAGATTTCGTCCTCTTGGCCAGAGATCTGGTGCAAGCTGCTCCGCTCACACATTGGGCACGGCGTGTTCTACTGCCAGTGCAAGCCGATGAACGAGGAGTGGCGCGTCAACCCTGCGCTCGCCATGAGAAAGAACGAAGCAACCTATATCCTCGAGAACATGGTGAACAGAACCGACTCGGAAGGAACGCTCGAGGCCTTTGCCGAGGAGATCTCAGGACAGGTATTTGATGAGGAAGAGGAAGCGTGGGATCACGTCACGGGGCCGACTGATAGGGCGTTACAACTGGAGAGTCTACACGACGATCCGCGCGACTGGCCCGGTCACCAGATGGCGTTTGTGGCGTTGAGCCATGACACCTATTCCCGCCGCATGTTCAAGCTTAAAGAGAGAGCGGAGCGAGCCCGCGACGCGATATCAGACAGAGGCTCGGAGGAATCCCAAAAGCACCCCTCGAGCGCATATTGGCACTCCCATAAACTGCCATGGCTGGGCAAGGAAGACTGGAGCCGCGCCGTGTGGCGACGCTACTACTTCTTGTGCTGGCTGTACAATTTCCTCGCCCTCGACGCCGGCCTGGACGAGGATATCATGATGTATATTGGCGGCGGCCTGCTCGCCGTGCTCAACCCGTGGCCGAACCCGCACTTCACGCCCCACGCTTCGCACCCGGATTACTTGACCTTGGATAACGACCTCGCCGCCTACGACCTGGTCCAGGAGTGCGTCTACTGGGTCGAGCACCACTGGCCCATCGTTCCGCATAGCTTCGACACTGTCGACCACTTCCGCAAGATGCTCGAAAAAGGTGAAAATATCATTTACGCGATTGAACGCAACACGACGCTCGCGCTCGCGGATATGAGGGCGCGAAACCGCTCGGCGGACGCGAGGACGCACATGTACTCCGTACTGCCCGAGCAAGCCGTCGCCGACGGCACGCCTAACTGCAATATTTGCATGTCCGGCTGGGAGGAGTACCCGAATCACGAGCCCGTGATGTTGCCCTGCTGCTCGCAGTATGTGGGGCGCAAGTGCCTCAAGAGCTGGCTGGCGCTGCGCGACCTCCGCGGGGCTCCCGAGGGGCGGCAGGAGACGGAGCAGACGTGGGCTGCGCAGTTTAGCTGCCCGTTGTGTAGACAGAAGATTGGGCCGCATTTCTCGCCGAATATCAGGCAGGGTGGCATGGAGGATACCCGGGACTATAGTTTCTATGGCGGCTTGCGGGATTATGCAAATCCTGAGGGGTATTGGGATAATCGACCGGCGCAGTGGGGTGCTTGATTAGGGGGTAGTCTGGTTTTGTTTGGAATCGTGGGGTTGCTGAGGCTTCACAACATGATTGAACAGATGGACAGGTCTGAGAGTAGATCGAGGTGGTGGGAAAGAGTTGAGCTTGAGACTTGAGGTGAATTCGTGCCGAGGACGAGGGCTTAAAGATGTATACATGTATAGGACGGGACTGTGATACATTCTGGTAGGCGAATATATGGTGATCGATCATATAGGCATAGCCATCCTGAGACTATTGAAATTAGATTGTATGAGGTATGGCTAACTATCATTGATATGTCTGGATGGAGACTCGGGCCAGTCTTTGTGCAGGTTCTGAGGCAAGTTTGGGAAGGCGCATCATATTCACAGACTATGGGAAACTCATGTACTTGAACTTTTAATTACTTATGGTCTCGGTTTCCTTGAAGATTCGGCGTGCGAGAGAGACTTGATTCGGCAAAGTTGACGTCTTATTTGGCGAGTTCGTCCGGCAGTAAGTCGTGATAATAGCCCACCAGCGTAGCCATGCACCGCAGTTCACCCTTCAAGACCCTTCCATATCCATTTCAATTTGATCTGGCCATATTGGGCCATACTCTGCGTATCCTCTCTCCGCCATGCAATCATTGATGCAGTCGACGACCGTGATCAGCATAAATAGCTCCGGGGTGCATTGGAGAGCACAGTAACCCTGTGGCTTCGTTAGCTGGACAGACTCTCCCCAAAGAAACATGGAATTAAAGAAATGGTCGTGTCAGGCGCTAAAATGTATCTTCGTCTAGGTATCTCGGTACAGCAAAGAGATCGCAGTTTTCTTCTTCTTTTTTGTTTTTTGGACTTACGTAGTTCCTGAGTACTTCCACATGTGGGATGTTATCAACAACATCTATGGGGCTCACGGTAGTGAGTTTGTCGTCAGGTTGAATGGGCAAATCTGCACTGGGGCCCAAGGTAGAGAGTTTCTCGTCAGGTTGAACGGGGAGGCCTGCACTGGGTGCCACGAGTAGGCCAAGCGCAGCGGAGAGGAAGAGTGTAGGATGCATTGTCGGGGTCTTGCTTGGTATGGGTGGTGGCGATTTGGCGAATTTTGCTTCTTGGATGAAGTGTGAATACATGAAGGAAGAAGCTAAAAACGGGTATGGAGAAGGCGAACTGCTGACTTTTATACATGGATGTCAGGACGCGGATAGACATGGGCAGCTCAGTAAAGGTTGATCTAAGTCGAAACTGTATCCTTCTTCTCGTGACTCGTCAAGAATTCATGGTGGGTTTCTCCGATAACAAGGTACTTGGTTCCATTAAGTTGATTCGAGGACATCTACGGTATGTCAGTCACGACTTCGCGGGCCAGAAGGTAAGAAGGTATGGCGGCTCCGACCTTGGCGGCACCACCGGCCGTCTGCCCGCCCAGGTATTGCGCTACACAACTGATATGGCCGGCGGTGCGGCAGGACGGTCCAAAGGGGTACATTTTCCAGCAAACTTTCTGTGCTATGAAAGAGTTCTAATACAGGCTTAACTTGAAGAGATACCTATAAGGTAGCAAACAGTACCTTAATTGGGTTTAGAGATACTCGCAATGGGCGAGCTTTTTCAAGTACTTGTTTCCAGTCTACACTGTAAGCTGAACTTCCTTTTCTTCTGCTGTGAATACGGATTGGATCTAAGCAAACCCTTAAACATCAAGTGACGGTTTGGTTGAAGTTGTGTTTCAGCTGCTTAGTGCTAAAGTAATGATCGTTTTTGAATGATCCCAGTCAACCCTGGGAGAAGGACTGAGGAATGACAGCCAAAATGTGCTATGGAAAGAATCTGTGGTCTGATCTAGCTAAATCAGTGTCGCTTTCTTGATCAGTTGAGTTTGAATAGACTCTAAGGCATAGGGTTCCCCTGAGTTGGTTGTGAGCTGAATACCTCCTTCAACTAGACAGAGAACAATGCCCTTGGTCAACCCTACACATTGTTCAAGCAGGACGACCTTGGGTCGTTCCCAACTACCCAAGGCCGTTCCTTGCCTTAAAGAATAAGCTTAAATAGGGTGAAAATCCATTGTCGAAGTCATTAAATCCATTACACTCACACCCAAGCTCATCACACACCTTCAAACCATCTCACCACAAATCCAAATACACGCTCAGAAGCATACTAGCTCGCACCACACACATCTTCCAAAATGTGTACGAAGAGCATCCTTAACCTTCTGCTGAGCAGAACCGAGCGTCAGGTTGACCAAGCCGCGGATTATGTATCCCCCTTGCCTCTACCCACTGAAAACTCTCCAGCATCATCTTCTTCCTCCTTGAAGAGCTATCGAAAGCTTCTAGGGGACGCCACCGTAGGCCTCAACGAGGATTCAGAGTTTGATTCAGAGTCCGACGACGAGAATCCAGGCTTTAGATCGTCTCAGTCTACAGACTCGCTGGCCTTTGACCAAACCCAGATCGGCGTCTCCCAATGGCTTAGGGAGGTTGAAGCCGCCACAGGTACTCTGAGAGCGCGTAATCCGGATCCAGCCTCGGCTTCACCTAGTCAGGACCTTCCTTCTGATTCGTACAACGGAAATCAGTCCAGATGGTCTCATTCCACCGACTCGCTGGCTCGCGAGGGACCTCCCAATGACTTCTCTTTCTGGGACCTAGAGACCGAATCCGAGACGGGTAGTCCGACATCTACTTCGACTAGCCAGAGCCTCTCTTCCAGTAGTTCGTCGTCGACGCAAGGAGAAGCTGCTGGAGACCTCGATGGTGAGGATGTCAGAGAGCCCCCTCAGGTTGACCCAGTCACTTTTGCCTTGCTGTGGAGCAGGGACGATTCGATTCTTGTTAGGCTGCGCGGCGGCGGCGAGAAGCCTCCTCATTTCCACACGCCAACTCCTGCTATGTTGAGCCCTAGAGCCACCTGGTATGTTGATGAGATTGAAACCGCTCGATCTGTTGAAGTGTATGGGTTTGGTCCAGGTGATGCCACGGTTGTCGACAGTGGTGCAACCTTGGAGTGGTGCAACCTTGGAGTGGTGCAACCTTGGAGGCTGCCGAGGTTCCTGTTAGGAACAACCCCAAGCGTCAGGGTCGAGTCTTTGGAGGTGCTTTTGATCGGTTGTCATTTGGGATAGAGAGGTAATGTTGTATACTGGTTTTGATTGGGTTAGAGTGAGTAAGAAAAAGTTTGTTGGTAGGTGTTCTCCCATTTAAAGGCGTTGGGTTAGTACAATGATCAAAATAAAATGTAAAAGACATCAGTAAAGGCCAGCCAACTCCGGGTGAGTAGATATGTAGGCGAGAAGAGAAAAAAAACGGAGCTCGGTGAAATCTGTGTGAATTGTGGAAGTTAGGCTCTATGTATTAAATATGCTCAAGACTGTGAGCCCAGAAGCTTCCCTATGCCTCACGAGGCCAATGCTTTTTTTTTCGACGTGACACAATTCCAGATCTTTGTTCCCATCCCATGCCCATACGCCAGAAACAAAAGCTTTGTATCGAATGAAATCTAGCAGACACTGTCCATGTCGTTCCACCTATTTACTCTTTCCAGAATCACCGGCGGCCTTCTTCTTGAGAGCCTCCTGGTTCCTGCACCACTCGTCCCAGGCCTTCTTCATCTCCAGCTGCGTCGCCGAGGCATCCTCCACATCCCCAACAACGGCATCCACGGCAGCCCGATCACCCTTGCCGGCGTGAAACACGCCAGAAGCGGCGATCAGGCAAGCAGGCACCGCGGCCTTGGCATGAGACTTTGTCTCGCCGGCCTTGAGCTCGGCATAGACGCCCTTTAGGACCTCGACCGCCTCCTCCAGGTCGAGCTTGCTGTCCTCCGTCGACTTGCCACTATTACCGGATCTCGCCTTGCGCGCGCGCTTCTGGTAGTCCTTGACCAGCTCAAACGCCCGATCAGAAAGCGTCTTGATAGTCGACGTGCGAACAAGCTGCAGCAGCGGCTGCAAAATCGCCAGCGTCGTCGGGCTACCCGCCTCATTCCGCACGAAAATCTCGAGCAGATCCAACACGCGCCTCTTAAAGTTGACGACGGACTCCTTGGCGGCCTTGCGCTCCTTCTTCTTGCTCGGCGCCGCCTTTTGGCGCTGCTTAAAGACCTCGGCCAGCTTGCCGTCCAGCTCCAGCATGTCGCCGTCGCTCATATCCGAGTCGTTGTCCGAGGACTCGGCGTCTTCGTCCTTGTCGAGGCGGTGGCTGTTGAGGATCTTGCCGAGTGCGTCGTCGAGGTCTGCGAGGTTCTGTGCTTCCTCGTCGTCTGCTTCTTCGTCTGATCCGGATCCTTCTTCGTCGTCGTCGTTCTCCTCGCCCTCCTCATCGTCGCCGGCGTCGAGAGCGTCGAATTCGACGTTGGAGTCCACCTCGGCGTCGGAACCAGCCTCATCGTCGGACTCGTCTTCCTCGTCCTCCTCCATGTCCTCGACGTCCATATCATCGGCGTCGACATCGAAGAGCGACTGCTGCCCCTTGGCGCTCTCGTCGGCGGAGAGGACGTCCAGCAGCAGCTCCAATGCCTTGGGCGAGACTCGGCTAGTGAAGTAACCAAACACCCGCTGCGAGATCTCGCGCAGAAGCGACGACTGCTGCGAGACGAGGGAAAGCAAAATCTCGACCAAGAACTCAGCAGCACCCTCCTCGTCCGTCTGCAGACGAGTCTGGTACTCCTTGAGATCGCTCAGAAGCTGGAACGCATCCGGCTCCTCGTTGTAGAGCTGGAAGATGGCAATGGCGTGAAGCAGCGCAAGGCCCTGCGAAATCTTGACTTCGTCCGTCGAGCTCTCGCTCGCAGAGGCACTCTTCTTCATGAGTTTCTCCAACCGCTTCCGCGCGGCGTGAACCTCCTTCTTCATCTCACCCTCCATACGAATGTAGTCTGGGTTGATCGACTGTACCGCCGTGCAAAGGTAGTTAGAGTCCTCGGCCTTGCGCGAGAGCTTGGCAAAGGCCGACTGAAGACGGCTTCTGCTCAGCTCTGTCACTAGCGAGTTCGCGTTCTCCGGAATCCATATGGGCTTGGCATATGCAAGAGATGTCAGCTCCTGCAGCGCGGGTTCTGGTGCCGAAGTGGTCAGGCGGAAAATGTATTCGATGTAAACGCGGAGGTCGAGCTTAACCGAGTTAATGTCCTTTCTGTGCGATAGTTAGCATCAAGCTCGAGATATTCTGCAAACAGAGGGTTGGACGCACGATGTCGTTGAAGTCTTCATGACAGGTCCGCTGAGAACCTGGATGACATCCTCGCCGGTCTCGGCCTTCACATGTTGAAGAATCTTGTCCACCGTTTTGCTCTTGGTCATAACATCGAACCGGTACAGTCCGTTGTTGTTAATAAGGTTGTCAAGAATGATGCCAGTAGCCTCAGGGTGCGCCGCAGAAATCTCCTCGACGACCTTCAAGGTCTTCAGAGCTGCACGGTGAAGGAAGCGGTCTTCCTGGGATGCCTGGTTGATGAGGCATGTCATCAGGTTTCTGCTGAAGAGAACATCCAGGAGGTCGTCGATATCGGCGTAGGTCTGAAGCATCTTCTGGAAGACTAGGAAACCCCTGAACTTTTGTCCCTCGGTGGCGGTCTTGGCGAAGAAGTTGTCTGTGACGTCTAGATTAGCTTAGTGTCTCTACAAGCTGCACACTTTGAATACTCACCATCAACAACTCGCTTCCAGAACGATCTGAACTCGTCAACACCTGCAGGACCCTTGCGTAGGAAATGTCGCACAATCAGGTCCCATACGAAGTGCAGTTGCGGCGTCCAGTTGGCCTTCTTGTTCTTGACGTAGTGGCCCCTCCTCGACTGCTGTTGTTGTTGCTGCTGCTGCTTCTGCTGCTTCTCCACGTCATCCTGCCCGCTCTCCTTCAGGATACCGGCCAGGTCGTTCAAATTCCTCGAAGAGAGGGGATGGTGGTGCTTCGCCTTATCGCCGGTCGTCAATTCGGGACACTGCTCGAATGCGACAAGCCAAATACCGACACCCTCGGGGGTCTTGGCCCAGCCGAGCTCGACTAACTGCTGCAGCACCATCTCGACGCGGGGGCGGTCCAGCTGCGCCAAGGCCTGCGCAACGACCCATCCGCACTGCGGCCGCAGCCAAATCTTCTTGCCACCCAGCTTGACGAGCAGTCTGAGAATCTCAATCCATCTGTTGGGGCCCTCCTCTTCGAGGAACAGGATCTTCGCGCGCACGAAGCACTCGAGCCCGAACAGCTGTCCAAAGTACAGGTCTCGCTCCTCCTGGCCCGAAATGTTTCCTCCAAAGCGTGTCCTCTCCATCAACATCTCCAGCACCTTATCAAAAGTCAGATTGGGGTACTTGTCGCGGCACAAGTTTCTAGGAGGGCCGTGGAGCTGGCTGAGGATCTCGGTCAAGACGACGCTGTAGCCCAATCTCGATCCCGCTCTGCCACTGGCAAGACCACGGAACAGTCTCCAGTCGAGATGTCTCGTCAGGCACTCCTCCGTCACGCCCTCGCCGTCGAGAAGGCTAGAAATGATGGCGCCGGCAGCCTCGAGGCGGTCCGTCTCGTTCTCGCTGCTGAGGAGGTCGTAGAGCTTCGCCTCGCGAATGCGGTCCTGGCCGGTCGACTTCTCGACAAAGAGCTTCTTCTCCAGCAAGATCTTGGGCAGTCTAGTGCCGCTGGAGCTGGTGGCGGTGTCGGCGACATCGTTCGAGTCCGGGGTGTTGCTGCCGTCGGCCGAGGCGTCGTGGGATGGTTTGGCGCGCTTGTTGGACTCGGCGGCCTTGATGGCCTCTCTCTCTGCGCGCTTGCGCTTTGCGCTCGCGGTTTTGGTCATTGTATAAGGTGTATCCTTTCAATTGCGCCTCAATTGTTTGGCATAATCAGATACTAAATTATCGTGGGAATTGGCGATATTTTCTTTTTTCTTCTAGCGTTCTTAGGTCGCAGAGCGCATACGCTCTAATGGATGCCAGGATCTCATCCAAAAAGTTTGGAGCGTAAAAAGTTCTGCCAAACGTTACCGCCCGGCACCAAAAAAAAACCCCGGCTCTGACTTCACCTCACCCACGCCCCGCCGATGGTGGGGGTCCCTGCAGGTTTCCATTGTTACCCGCTATGGATCCACAACTCAATCCTGTGCCAGAATGTCACAGTGAGGTGGTGACATTACCTTATATTGAGGTAGCTTTGAGGGAGAATTTCTCTATTCTTATCTTCTACACTCATAACACCTTTCTATAGGCTGTCGTCACTTCATCTGTCATCATTGAGACAGCAGCATACCCATCTTGTACTTTGCAGTTTCAGATATGAAGATCCACCTTCAGCAGTCCAGAGTAGTGCTTGACCGGCTGTCCTTTCACACAAACATCTGGCAACTGATCAACTATGACATTTGTAATAAAAACCCAACTTGGTCTACGGTATTTCTCTATGTAATATCCACTATTTGTACCAGGACTGGGTTTCTCGGACGATGGTGTTTCTCAGATCTCAGCTTAACTCATCCGTGATCAAGCCTCGGAGGAGGACATATGAGTAGAACAAGTTTCAGACATCCAAAACAGTGATATCCTGGAGTGTTTAGGAGACTCGTTCTCGTTAAAAGTCCTGTCGGTATAAAGTAGGCGATCTATCGGTGTCGTGTCCAATTCCAAGGTAGTAACGAATGAAGAGCATGGCCACGAGCTCGATTTGTCCGTCGATCGAGGCATGGTATAGACATACTACTACAATTTTCCTGTAGGTAATGTAATCACTGATGGGGATATTGCGGACAATGAAAAGGCAACTCGGTGCAGAAAAACCTGGATCTAGACTGGCTCACCATGACTGCAAGTGGATCCCCGTTGGGTGACCGTATATTCCATTCAAGTATTCTGCCCTGGGGCCTGAATCACTCAACAGAACTGCTCGAAGCCTTGTTAGGCAAAAGAAGTGCACCAGAGAGCATGCATGAGCAGCGCCTGAAGTGTATATGGCCTAGTGGAGGAAGGTAATGCCTGGTTTCGGCAAGGAACGCGAGTTCGAAACTGGTGGCCCTACATAAAGTCACACGCAGCTCATTTTTGTCATTTGCCTCATCTCAAATTTTTTTTTTCATTCAGATCTGTTTGGGGCTGAAACAACAATCCACCTATAATCAAAAGACCAAACTGATGTAGAGAGCTCTGAGGCCGCCCATGGTAGAATGTCCCTTCCTGAGGGTGAGGCATCCAGGCCGACGAGACCATCCCAAGGAGGCAGAAAATGAGGAATATCCACGCATCAGCAGACGGAACCACGTGGATTTCTTCACCTGCTGAAAAGATTCCACACTCGCTGAAGCATCAGAATAAGTCTGGACGGGACGACCTGAAGTTGCTTCACGTCAAATGAGAGTCATGGGGAAGTGAGAAGGGGCAATGGGTTTCCCAGACATCAACGTTGTAAATGACAGTAAACAAACAGATATAGTTCTGTGAAATAATAATTGACCTCAGAATCGGTGTTATGTATCTGTTGAAGCAAATCGTACATACACTCATAGCGCCTACCCGACTCGCAACTTCTCCCCTACTTCATGCGACGAAGGCAGATATAGCGTATTTTAACTCAACCTCGTTGGGGATCTCAGAGGACATAGGGTCAAGGATTCAATTCTTTCTCTCGATGTTCGAACAGCACTGTTTTCTGATAGTTCCTGACCTTCTTCACCCCTGACATCCTATTAAATCGGCTCCAGAGCCCTTCGCTTGTTGCGCTTTTCTCCCCATCTCCGTCCTCGATGTCAAACTTCACCGAGGAAGGGATCAATTTCATTCCGTTTGACCAAGAAAGGACCGCCAATTCATCGTCTACCACAATAAGTCAACGGCCTGTCTCTCAATCAGCCGTCTTCAGCCGTCTCTTGCTCAGATCTTGGAGATACGAACCTTTTTTCCACAGCGATATTGACAGCTGCTACACCGGTCCCGAATGTCCCATCGTCGCGAGTACACCTTTCTCAAGTCTATTCGTCCAATTCTCTAAACAGCTTTCCTGTGATATGGACCCATGCGACTCCTACTTGGACAAGATCATATCCCAGACCTTCTCACGCAAGCTTCTCGGTACAGGACACATAAAGCGGGCGACAGTCAACTAACCATGCTCTAGAGCATACACTCATTCAAAGCCTCAAACGCTATCCCTAAATCACCTTTGAATCTTTGTCCAGGGTGACTCAAAGTCTCTCCCGTATAGCCACAGGGTGGAGAAAACCTCTATCCAACCCCTTGAGGCGAGGTTACTTCGTGTCATTCAGATGACTGTCAATCACCCCTTACAGAGTGATCAGCCCATGCCATGCACTAACCCGAGCAGCAAGATACTTGGCAACACTGAAGAGTCTTTCCCTAAACACTGCTCAACACCAAATCTGGTCTGCCTCTGCCACACGAAATCATAGGGAACAGTAAGAGGAAAAGACGCCCCTTCCACCCCTCAGCCCTGACCCTCAAATCGCTTGGTAACAGCAGCGGAAGGAGAAGAGAGCACTATAAATAGCCTATTCCTTCCCCGCAATGGGCGGGCAACGTGAAAATCAGCATCGTTGTTGAGATGTGGAGATCTGCGCCAGCGGCACCCAACCTGCTGCGCTGCCGGTGAGTTGGGACTGAAGCCGAGGACCAGCTTGACGATCTTCGATACTTCCCTCTTCTCTGAAACAGAAATCCGTAGTCTAAGCTGAGAGCGTTCATCAACTCTTGTGGTTTATTCCACACGGAACAAACAACACTTGCCGGCCAGCATCCTCTTAGGGCATAAGGTAATCTATCTTACCTCCCATACCTTTGTAGATCACGTACGTGGGATGAGTATACCAGCAAACCTCCTGCCAACCTCCTGCCCACCAGAAGACCTTGTCAATCGTCATGGATCAGCTTGTCATGTGTGTCTCTGTCACAGAGGTGTACCATCGTTGGTGGAAGCAGACGTAAACTGGAAACCCACGAGACCAGTTCCATATGCTCGTACCGGTTATCACACCAAGTTGTCACAGATCTCACATTTCATAGCTGGAAATCAGGCACATTCGTCTACTAAGAAGAGCCTCACAAGAATCGATGTTGAACAAACCTCCTCGACGCCAGACTCGCTCGTCATCTCCAGCTCCAATCTCTCTCCCCCGTACAGAAACAATCACTCAACTCAACCCAACTTTGGGTAGCCATGACCGACAGCAGCAAACACCGGCCGACGATACCTCAACTCTAGAATCGGCACCGCTGCCGACGCCGAAGAGGGGATCCAGCCAGCCTACATAGGGATCCAAACACCAACCGCAACTCAAACACTCCAGATCTCCCACCACCCACCCGCTTCACCAAAACAGGTAAAGAAACCCCACCGCTGATCCAAGGTCACCTTCTCGCACCAAAAACTCCCGTCCCTCCTTAACCTCTAAATCCACGGTCTCGCGATGCGGCACTGTGCTCGTTGAAAGGCTCAGAGGCGGGAATGGCAACACAGCAAACGGTCTCAGGGGTAGAGACTACCTGGAAGATAATAGGAGAGAGAAAGCCCAGCCAACATAGTCTATTCCGAAACTCCTCACCACATCAGCCTCCAGCAACGGGAACTAGACAAGTTTCCAGAACGAGCCAGGATAAGTAGACATCACGCCACCAAAAGTCCCAGCTTCACCCTCTTACGAACACCTCACCAGTATAGTGTAGAGAGATACCACCAGACTCTAACCAGCCGCCGGTCTCCCACTCTCTTCAAACACCCTTAGAGTGCGCCATCCGTCCACGCTGAAGATGGTATTCTCTCCATCGCATACAAGATTCCCGATGCTGATGCTAAGATAGGACTACCAACAAGCCCCCCCCCCCCAAACCACGCAGAATCCGACTCTACCCCTCCCGCAACCACATCGTGCCATCTTCCACTCGCTCCCGCTTAGTTCAGGGGAACCCAGGGGAAAACAGGATTCTCGCTAACCGCATCGTCCTCTACCTCAGTGTCCAGCCTGCCGCCATTCCAAGAGCCGCCCGTCACGCCGCCACCCTTTTTTTTTTCTTTGTCTCAACCCTCGTGGGGGGGGGGATGTTTGATGTTTCAGCTCGGAGGGCGCCATGCCCGTTTTTCCACGACCGCTTTGCGACTTCCCGTCCGCAAGGAGCCCTAGGGACCTAACCTACTCGAATGCCTTACCAAGGGAACTAATGATGAAAGCTTTCCGACTTCGAGCCAAGGTAGACACGCCACAAACGCATGTTAGTCGAGTGGTGGCGCCGTCACCAAAAAAACAGTCCGCCGCAGCGGGACCGCAAGCCTCCCAGATCCAACCATCAGACGTCGAACGGAACTACACAACAAGTTCGAGACGAACAAAGAAGAACGAGAAAAAAAAGAGTCTTGTAACACGCTCGGCGTCCCTTGGGAGTCCCTTGGGAATAGGGGTCTACACACTTACCGCATCAACCGCAATGACAAAACGGGGGGCCGGGAGGAATGTTGCGGACATTAGGTCGCCGCCGCCGTCAGAAACAACTTTGCACCAACGCGGACTTTGAACGGCGGCTCGGCCGGCCGGTCGGTTCATACCGGTGCGGCCGTGGCGGTCTCGCCCGATCTGTTTCGCTGCTTGTGTAGCCTGGCAAGCCTGGGTAGAAGGGGAAAAGGATGTTTGAGGTCTCGGGGATGTGGGGGAGGGGAAGAACAAGACAGCCAAGGGCTCAGAGGCGAGAGACAGATACAGAGAGACAAGCGAGCACGCAAAAAGACCCTGATGTTCCTGAAGCCGTCGTGGGAGACCGTGGACAGGCCCGTCGGACAATTATTCGCCTCTGGAGGCGCGACTTGGGTGGCTCGAGACTAGGGTAGCATTCGCCTAGCAATGGCGCGCGGAATCAATGTGACTGGCGAGTTTCGGAAGCCTTGTTGGTTTGGGATGTGTGAACATCGTTCAAGGCATTGCGTTGGCTCACACTCTCAGACGCAAGAACGGCGGTGGAGAGCCTATTCCGGAAGCTCGTTCATCCCGACTTGATCCTGCGGCATCGGCTGGTGGTGTTGGTCCAGTTGTTGTCGGTGGTGGTGGTGGTGCTGTTGCTGGCTGGCTGGCTGGCTGGTGCTGCTACGGAGGACCTCTACATACTGCTGCTTCGACATGGACCGGGGAATGGAAGAGTCAGGTCAGACCCGTCGGTCAGACGGGCAACAGAGCATACGGGCCCGGCTCACCGGGTGATATCGTTCGTTTCAGACATCGGTGCGGGTTGCCCTGCTCCTCCAAGGCATAGGTCGGTAGTGTCGGTAGCTGCTATGGCCGGACAATTAATGAGAAACTATCAGTCCCCGGTCCGCATGCATGGCGACATGTTTCGACCCAACTTTGGATCTTCGTATCGCATTAGCCGAGAGCTGAGGAATCGTTCATCAACAAAGTGGGCGAGGTATCCGTAAGGTCTTGGGAGCTGTTTGCCTGTGGTTGCTGCGCCCCGAAATAGAGCTCCCCTTGATAGCGAAAGCGGGGAACCCAGTCCCAAAATCCCATGCTCTCCAAGCAAGTCCAAAGTCAGTCTCAGCCCAGCAACATCCAGTGGTTCCGGGGTCGGTCAGTCAGATTGTAAGATAGATAGATATTCGAAAGAGGGGTGAAGGAAGCGTGAAAGAGGAGCTGTATCCGTAGAGTGAACCCCGCCTAAGCTGACACCAAGATCCTTCGCCAGCCTTGTCATCATGATGATATCGTCAGCATTTGCACAGCGGCGCCGCGCTTGTATTGACCCTCACAACCCGGGGGGTCATCTTGACAGATTCCCGGCGTCAATGATGTGATGGTATCCGTACTTCGTAGCCGCAGAAAGAAATCGGAGTTCGTCCGTACGAGCCATGCCGAGGGATGCCGACTCCACTGAGCCCCCAAACCTGAGCTGAAGCTCCGCTCGGACGTTCCTGGTTCCTGTCCCATCAGCACGTCCCATTCGAGAACCCCGTCGTCGGTCTCTTCCCCCTCCCCCACTACCACACCACCAAACGCCAACCTTGAACCAGGTTCGCCAACCGGACCGTCGAACCAGCTGCCAAACCGGGATGACGGCGGCTAGAGACGTCACTGCTGGAGACACCATCCTTGCGAGAATCACGTGAACTAGCACATGACTTCGCGTTGGAGCTAGGATTCGGAAACAGGGTCTGCAGGGGCCCCATTGTTGACATGAATCGCGAACCCGCAGTTTGTAAACAAAGTGGCAGCCAACGAGAAAGGAGAGCGAAGAAAATTCCCCTCACTTGAGTATGAAGAGTGGCTTGTTTCCCACCCGCAGTGCAACGCGCCCGCGCCGTCAGCACCCGCTTTCGTGCTTCACCATAGCCGTACCAACGAGGACGAGACAAAGAAAGAGCTCCATAACGGCGTAAACGGCACCGTTTGTCCATTGGACTGGGTCCAGGCTAGAGATGATCCTCAAACGTTCAGCCAGAGACTTTGTGAGCAGGATTTGAGCGACGTCTCTCTGCTTCTCCACGTTATCCATGGTGAGCCGCGTAAAAGGTTGTTTGATCGTGGCCTTGGAGGGGTCAAGGGGCAAAAGAGGGGAAGCTCAAGCAGCAACGGCTCTCTCTCTCTCTCTCTCTCTCTCTCTCTCTCTCTCTCTCTCTCTGTGCATGTGTAGTGTGCCTAAGTAAAGCTGAGGAACGGGAGAGGAGCGGAAGAGGGGCACGGAGACCCGAGGGAGAGGGAGGGGGACAACGCCATCGCGGACTCTGTCACGCGGCACTGACTGCTGTGTCTATGCCGGGCGTGCGACAAGGCTTGCAAACCTTCTATCAATGTCAAATCCAAGCTGAAAGTTTGGCTCTGGCAGCTTTCGAGTGCAACGGGACGCCTCATTGGATTGTTTCCGATGCCTGTCTTCCCTATCATGCATGTAATCTTCAATAGCGCGAGATGGGCTCATCAATCCAAGGCATCACGGCCTGGTAGCGCCAACAGCCAAGTCTCGTGCGCGCGAATAAACAAACAAGGCGAGCCATCCAATCCTGTTTCTCGTTGGCATCCTCTCTCGTTTCGGTCAAGCTTGACCGACATGCTGTCGTACGTATGAGCGACCTCTCTAGGTGATTGGCACTGTTTTTGTTGTTGATGGGGACGACGGTCGTCGTAGATGCGGCCCTGGCACTGGATCCAGTAATACCCATGGCCTTGATGCTTCGAATTGTGCAAAATGCTCCAGAAAAGAACGATGTGACCGCATGAGAATGACGACCCGGTTAAGCAGGATCTCGATACACGACGGCGAGACGAGCTCTCTGCCTTGGGGGAGGGGCCGCAGGCCGGGGGGTGTTCTTGAGTCTTGACGATCACTGCCAGGCTCGACCCCGAGAGGATGACGTCTGTTTTAGAGCCGGACTAGACCGTCCGCAGGTGATCGGGGCGGGAGGTGCGTGATCGATGCTTTTTACTTCGAGATGGCCCACGGGGGGGTTCTCGCACCGCCCTCTACGTCGCCGCCCATATCTGTACCAAGTACGGATACGCAAGCCCGACTTGTTAGCCTCATAGTCATGGATGATGGCCAGACCTTGTTTTCGCGATGTGCAAATGCCGGGTGAGACCATGTCTTGTGGCATGGGAAGATGCCTGAAGACCATGTTTTTGTTGTGCCCATTTCTTCTCGAATTTCCTTCTCGAATTTCCTTCTCGCGTCTGATGAGTCAAATCGCGATCGGGCTATATGCGTATTATCGCAACCCAATGGTTGTGCGGCGTGCCTCCGTTTAGCTTATGTCAGCAATTCTCCGACCGCATTGATGGAGTGGTTGTGTTGGGGTTTCGGTCGCTTCTTGGTTCTGTCCTGGCCCCCCCCGGGATCGGGCGATGCTGGATACCGAGTATTCGGATGATTCATCCGCGTTTTGCTGTTTGAGCATCCTCATCTTACACACTCTCAATACCTACTCCAGGAGTTGGTCTCGCTGACCTGTTCGTGTTGAACCCTGGTTGGCGTGAAGCTCGTGCGATTGATAGAGCGACGCGAAAGGAGACTCATTTTGTAGTACCGGGGATGTTCTCCATGGCGCCAGGCATAACGCCGTAGCTCCCGACTGTCGTCACAAGGCTTGAGGCGCCCTCCAGATAGTTCCAAGACGGCCCGTCAGATCAGACAAGCTCGTCAAGGCAGTTTGCGTCAGCCACTGTCAGTGATCATTTAAATTCCTCCGGCCGCCTTCACCGACGGCCAAGTGCACTTGCCTGTGCACCCGCTTGGACTTGAAGCTGTCGACTCGCAATCACGACCCCAACGCCAGTCGCTAGTGCGCCAATGGCAGCTGGTGGCTTGGAATCGGGAGGATGAGTGGGCTGTGTGTAGCCTTTCGCTCGTCGTGTATCCGTACGGTAAAGTATCCGCAAGGTCGTCGCGAGGTTCAAGGGCTCGGTGAATAGGGACGCGACCCATAGACGATTTTTTTTTTTCCTCTAACCAAGCAACCGCAGATTGGGAGCGGAACAAGACAGGGTAGGCCGGTCAATATCAACAGGGTTGACGATAGCATCGGCCCTTTAAGCGAAGTCAAGAGCTTTATGAACGTTTCGTCCATTCTTCGAAATCAAGAGCCTCATCCATTGTTGCGCAACCTCTGGCCGAATGGTATTCTTCAATCCTATTTCGAGACGACCAGGTGACCAACTTGGTCATGCTTACAGGAAGTTTAGCCCAAAGCCGAAAGCCGGCTTGTCGATCGAGCTGATGGTAGAAGACGAGCTTCCAAGAACAGTCCAAAGTAAACAAACGGTCCCCCTACAGTAAGACGACGGGCGTCTCGAGGGAGCTGGGGATGCTGCATGGTGGTCGCCAACGAGAGGGGGTTCTTCTTAGTTCAAACCTCTGTGCACACGGGAATATGACAAACATGCCCTTGGCCGGGCCTTGCAAGTGGAGCGAGCACTGGAGCTTCAAGCCAGGATCCTGCCGCTGCTGATGTTGTCATGTCGTCCCAGAGGAAAACGAGAGGCACGAGAGCCTGTATCGTGAGCTTCTTCAACCCCACTTCGTGAGTCGTGAGTGCGTAACTCGTCCTGCAGGAAGCTGGAGCATCTCACCGTAGACAGCCGCGGTCGCCGGGGGAGCTTCGACCCTGTGGAAGCTAGGGCGGGCCGGCCAACATGGCGGAGCATCAGAAACATGGCTGTACTCTGGAAACCTGGACTGCATATGCAGTAGCTGCAGCAGCTTGACGCAGCCGGGCCATCTGTCCGCAGTGCAAAATGCAGCTCTGCATCCGAGGTATCCATCTTCATCGACTATCCATCCAAACGTATCCGTACTGCACAGTTTCTGCATCTGAGCTCGCATACGCGCATCAACTACGCAGCACATCTGCAGCCCACCGCGCGGTACTCTGTAGGCGGGGGAACATATGGGACTGGCGCCGGTCTTTGCTCGTCCCGATTCCCCCGTTGCGTCTGTTGCCCCGTCGAACAAATCCACGAGACGCAGAAGGATCCAAACTGACTCTGTGTCGTTGCAAACAAACATCGGCCGCTTCTGCGACCATGTCGCAACTCGGATAACCATCATTCGACCTTCATCTCCCCAGCCGCCGGCTTCGGATCGGCCTGACCACTGAGCGAGATACACGTGCCGTCGTGCGATAAATCGATGTCTCTATCGCTGTCCCTCGATGCACGGTGCTCATTGAGGAGATGAAAGACTGAGCGTGCCGCTTCACCGCCGGCCGGTCTTAGACAGACTTTGACTGGCATCTGGCATCTGGCAGCCTTCGAGACCCGTGCCCTGAACTCTGGTGTGAGGTCTCGCGCCGTCAATTCCGCATCCTTCAAATGCTTGACCAGCGCCACTGATGTTGGCGTGGCCATTGATCACCGGGCAAGCGGCCAATCGTCCGTCTGTTCGCCAGCCAGTCAAGCCAGGTAAGCCAAGACCCAGGCCTAGACCAGCTGGATGGATCACTATCAGGGAGTCGACATGGACAACCGGGGCAGGACTCGAACTCTGTTGCGTTGCTCTGTCAGAACGCTCGTTGTCAGTCGTCATCTCGGTGCATCGCCTGGTCCGGGGTTGGTGTCTGCTAATATTCCGAGCTTCAGCCCCAACCCCAGCTACCAGGCCGAGCTCGAAGCTCTCCAATAGAGCTCCAACAAAGCTCCCTTACTGTGTGTGTGTCTCTTTTCTTCCCAAGCTCCCAAAGCTCTTACTACGGAGTACACACCAAGCTCCATCTGTGCATCCTGTGTATCCACTTGCCTTCCGAAACAAGATGCCCTGTAAGCCAGCTGTGCCAGCGCCCACCAGACCCTGTGTTTCTGCTGTCAGCAGTGACCGACAACGAGCCAATTGCAACGCCAAATCGGTGTGAGCAGGAGGCTCTGGCAGGTCCAAATCGTTTATTCGAGGACTGCGGTCGGTTTGAGGTTTGGGTTGCACGGGACGATGTGGCAGTGATAAGCAATCCTGAGGTTCCCAGGTAGGTAACGAGAGCGGAGCCTAGCCTAGCACGCACTCACATCGCACGAGACAGAAGCCGGGGCCAGGACCGGGGTCACGTACTGGGCCGATGGGCGGGGGAAAGCGAGGGATTGCCCTAGGCCGCCTGGCTGAGAGAGTTGAAAACTTGAGGCAGAGCGACCGAGAGCTCTGGCCAGTCGCGATGGCGGAGATGGAGGTGAAGCCCTGCGAGCTGCCGATATCCCCTTGTCGGACCCCAGTCAAAGCCCAGCTGATCCCAGCCGATCCCACGTCTTCAGCCCAGGGCCGGCCCCGTTGGTTGCTGTGGGGAGAAGATGACGATGGGGGGTTTTACCGGGTCACTACTTCCTTTTTTCCTTCGAATTTTCTTCCTGTCTTTGGAACCTCCTTTTGGTCGTTGCTGTACCATTGCTGAGATCCGCTTTGTGGAGGTAGGGTCTTTGGAGCAAATGCTAGAAAAGAAAAAAAATCTTTGCAGACATGTTCAGCTATGCCAATACATTTAGTGTCAAGTCTCACGACGCGACTCCGTGCACTAGCCTATGTGCCAGGTCTGCCATTTCTCGGCTCTTGTCGTGCGGTGCGGTAGAGGCCGAATATCTCGGCAGAGCCGGTGTTCCTGAGGCCCGGGCCCCGTTGCCTGGCCGGACAGCTGGGCCGACTAGATTCGCTTGGAGTGCATCAGGACTGCGAGATGGAGAATACGAGCAAGGCCACCACATATGGTCGACACCCAAATCTACGTCATTGCTGCACTTATGATTCCTGCAGCCCTGACGTTTTGACCTTCTGTGCATGTCACTGATGCGGGCCATTGGGAGGCCATCTCGAGGTCACCCAGGAATGCTCCTGTCTTGTGTATCTGTAGGAAGTGGAATGTTGAATGAGTCCGAAAAGGGTGTTGCAGCCAAGGATCTACGTCCCGAAGTAGCGAACAATTGTACTTTGCCATCCCCATTATTGACTTGTTTGTCGACAGGATATGCCTGTGAATAATTAGCGGCCAACAAGCCACTCACGAGTTTTTGGCACTTCGTACCTGAGCAAGAAAAAAAAAGCCTGACATGGCCCATAAGCACCACGCCATTTGATTCCAACCTTGTCTCAAGCAAGACCCTTCTCGCAGGCTACGACCCGGCAACCGAAGAATGCAGCAAGGGGTCATTTAGGGCCCTGAAGTCTCACTTCAGATTTCTGCTGACGCCCCGGAAAAGTCGTCGCCTGTGTCCGCCGCACCGGAGGTGCCTTGCAGCGGCAGCATCAAACAGGTCTGGATTCGGGCATATGCCTCCGGGGGGCGTGGTTGCTTGGGATCACCAGGTCCGAGTAGCAAGCTTGGTGTGCTGTGTGGCCTGAACGACGAGACGGGCAAGATTCGGGAGATCATGGGCGTGGGAGCCCTGTCCGAAGCCGCCAGGCGTTTCCGTTTCTGCGGCTGCTGTGAGGTAGCCTTGCCAACCCTGTGTCCAACATGAGGATGGAGGTCGCGGTCCAGGGTCTTTGGACGAATGAGGATGGAAGCAGCACGATTAAGGTGCAGGAAGCGGGTGACACAATAGGCAAGGCGGCGTCTGGTGTAATTGCTGGCTCCAGACCCTGAACGCTGGTAGGTCAAGCAGCCGGTTGCTCAGAGCAGGGGATAAAGTCAGTGTGCTGGCAGACAGGCGACAGACAGGAGAGACAAGCCGCTACTGTCTTGTCTCTGAGAGCTGTGTCCGTAGCCGTAGCCGTAGCCGTATCTCTGTGAAGAAGTACATGCGCGCACGTCCAGTGCACTGCCGAAGTATTAGGAGGTGCTCTGTAGTAAGGCACACCCTGGACAGGGGACTGGTAAGTAGGGCGATACGCCAACTCACCGCTCATTTCCAGGCTCACGATGGTCACTGGCGGTGGTGTTGGTGGTGAAGTGCGGCGTGGACGGCGGTGCTGAACTTGATCTGATGGTTTCCCGCGCCGGGCGATGATGTAAGTCGAGGGTCTAGCTAGGCCCACTTCTGCCAAGTGTTGTTTGCTAGTGCTGGAGGAAGAGGCATTTTGGAGATTTTGGAGGTGACAGTGTCCAGCTGGCAGGTCGGCTGGCATCTCGAGCAACCCCGTGGACAGTTCGAGCTGACTCTGTCGATTCGGTTCGAGGGTCGTGTGAAGGGCGCTTAGCAGTTGGCTTCTCGGATAGCCTAGCGCCAGCCATCAGCCACACGGGGGCCATCGTCGACTAGATACCGTAGTTCATAGCCGGGGCGACGGTGAAGTTGGTTTTTAGTTGATAGAAGAGGGGGGAGGGGTACGAGGACGATGACCGCGGCCATTGGGGGCAAAAAGGGACGAGCGGGAGATGGCTTGCAATGGACGCATGTCGTTGCCATATGGATGGATCACGGGAGGCGCGTGTAGTTGGTCCTTCGCACGTCGTCTTTCCCTGTGCGCATCTTTTGGATCTCGGATTATAGTTCAATGGACCGGTGGTGCGCTCGTATGTAGAGAATCCTCTGTGATTTCCCTCGGAGCTGTGCTATACTCAATGTGCTGTTGTCGGCAAGGTACTCGAGTCGGACTGGCATTGGGATTGCGTCTGGCTTGTTGCACTAAGCCAAGAAGACAGTCGAAAGTTGATACCGCTTTTTGCTGGGCCCGGCGCTTCTTCGCAAATGGTACTTTCTGGCCGAAGGAAGAGAGGACCGATTCAGTCCAATTGTCCAACAAGTGAACAAAGTATTAGGCGGAGCGCTTACGGGCAATAAGTCGAGGCAGAGGTGCGGCATAGAGAAGCTTTGTTGGAAAGCTGGGCTGAATTGTATGAATGTTTGAGCTTGCACAAGCACTAAGAGGAAAAGCACAAAGCACAAAGAGCACAAAGGAAAACGTTTAATTCATTCAACGGGGGTCGAAACCTCCCTTGCCTTAGGTGGGTTGTTCCTGGCTAATAGGTAATAGGTAAGGTAACTAACTGCCTTAATGGAAATGGAAGGAAAAGACTTCCATTGGATACCTTCCACTTTCCATTTTAGAGTAGAGCCTTACACCTCAGGTTTGGCCATTGCGAGGCAGGAAAGGAGTAGGTACCTTATTGTGTAATCAAGGCAAGTAAGTACCTGCCTCAATATCACTTACAGAAAAGGTACGGACACAGTATGGGCAGGTGGAGGTCTGGAGACTTCCAGGCTCCTTCTATTGCTGTGGTGTGGGAGAAGGAAAGGACGTACCGCAGTAAGGTAACGGAAGGTACCTCCCGTCACTCCGCACTTTCCTCATGGGCCCCCGTAGGTAGCCTGTAGCATCTGGGTCGGCGCCGGGTCCGCTGCACGGTTTTTTCTTCTCTTCATTTTCTCTCTCCCTGCAGACGGACCACCGGGCTACAAGACCCTTCCACTGGGCAACCCGTTATTTTCCTTCTCTTCCGCCTCACTAACATGGGAAACAGCGGGGATCAGAAAGGGTTTTCTCGACGCTTGCACGGCTTGGTATCACTATGGTCCGGGTTGCGGATCAAGCGCTGCAGCAACCGCAACGGGTCGACGGGTCGAACATCCAACGTGACACTGGGTTGATCATTGATGGCGAGTTGACTGGATCCCGTTCCGAAAGCTGCCCAGCGACCAGCTCCGGGTGTCTCCAGTTGCTCCAGTCCACGGGTGCACCGCACACCACAGACCACCCCGCGGACCACTGATGAGGGACTCAGGGGCGGTATGCTATGTGCTCACAGACCAAGTTGCGGACAGAACATCAAAATCTCTTCTCGGGGAGTTTCCAATCTAACGCCAGACAGGAACATGGCCGGTCGGGTGGGTGACGACTGAGCACGAGAACCACTTCCAAACTCGAGCTTTCTGGAGACCGCCTCCGATCACTGGAGAAGAAGACCAAGACCAGACCGCACAAGGCCTCGCGCTTCTCCGTGTCAAACATATTGGCCCTCTTTGGCGCTACCGATACTACCGAGTCAACGGGTTACGGCGTACGGAGTAGAGTGTGCGTACGGAGTACGTGCACAGAGCGTCGGGCCCTAAAACCTCCTAGCGACTACACGGGAAGCCCAGCACGCCAGCGAGCACGCCAGTGGAGGGTTGCTCACGTTTGGGGCGGATGGAGAGATGGGGAGAGCCCCTCGTGCCCCTGACGCCTCATCCGATAGAGCATGAACTCGACGCTCCAGGGCGCGCCGCCAGCCGCCAGCCGCCATCAGTGGGGGGATGGAACACTCAGGCGAAGCCGCTGTAAATCAGTCAATCGTTGCGGCAACCGCCTGTAAGGGGGGGAAAGTTTTTCAGGGGATTGGTGCCAAAGTCGGGGCCCCTGTCCGCCGCAACGGCGTTGTTGGGCGCCTGAGTCGTCGGGGGGATGTTCGTGGAGTCCAATTCAGTTCTTCCTCCCCCTGAGGGTTACCAGCTAGGAGGGTGGGAGGCCCAATTACAGCGTTGGTATTCGTACGGCGTCACGTACGGCGTCACGTACCTCATGGGAAGACAGGGCGAATGTGGGCGCGGGTGTGGTTCATGTCGGTAATGCTGGGTGGATTTGGGGGTGTGTGTCTGCAAGAGACATGTGGACGGATACCTACCTGTGTGTATTCCTCGCAGATGTGGTGCCGGTCACTGGTCAGTCTTCTCCAATCTCAGCATGGCGGCGAGATGAGGAATTACTCGTACCTGCTTTTGGGGGGGGGGGCCATGACTTGCTGGATGAAAATGCTTGTGCTGGCTCCAGCTGCTTGTGCTGTGCATCGGATCCGAGGGGGTACCACACGGGCAAAGCTGGAAGCGCATTGGCTGAGGCCTGGCGGGATTTGGTGCGATTGGCACGATTCTGCTCGATTTCCATGTCTTGCTGCACAGCACAGATAACCTTTTTGCTGTTGCGCATTACCTTAGTTATGCCCGCTCGCGGCTTTTCCAAGGCAAGGCACCGACGAGCTGGAAGGAAGCTTAGGTGAGAAAGTCAACCCTGCCCTGCTTCTGCGGTACGTATCTCGAGCCACGTGCTCTTTGGCTCGGGTCGTTCTCTGAAGTCTTGCCTCTGCCTTTGGAAGCTTCTGCCGTCCGACCATTTGTTTTTATTCTGGAAGACTGACAATCGATCGATGGTTACCCCGAGAGAGAGAACCAGGCGACGCAGGGCAGCGGAAGAGAAAGCAAGATATTCTCAGCTCAATGACCACACACACACACAGATTGTTCCTTGGCAACGTGTAAAGTGGGGGGGGGGGGGAAGAGTACGAGGAAGAGGGAGAAAAAAAAAAAAGGTACGCTAGAATAAGGTGCGGATGTATTACCAGGAATGGCCATGTGTAAATGGCCAGCAAAGTTCCAAGAGAAGGACCGCAGACGAGAGACAGACAGGGCCATGCCATGTTTCTGACGTCCAATGGGCATCAGGTTGAGGTAAGGTAGCCGTGGTAGCGTACCTTGTGCAGCGCATCGATGCAAGCTGGCTGCATTATCATTTACTCAGTGACAGACAGTCAGAGACAAGTCGAGATAGAGCGAGAGACATACACCACACAGACGCTGAGAGAGGGGGAAAAGATGCAAGCCCAGACTGCAACTGGCAAACGGCGGAAAGCAAATAGAGAGCCACACAGAGCCTAGAGGCAAGGCAGAGACACATGGGCTCCATCCATCTGCATCTTTGGTGTCTGCAACTCCATCTGGTGCATACACCTCCCTGTCGTCGCCGTCCACCCAGAAGCTCTGATGCAGCTGCAAGTCCGCAGTAGCTGCAGCAGCAACCAAATCTCCCCTGACAACCAAGTTCAAAGTTGACTTTCAAGTCGCGGTCGGGGAGGAGGGGGAGCACAGGTTTACGCGCAGAGAGAGGAAGATCACCAAGGAGGCTCCACGACGAGGAGGGGGGGGGGGATGCCCCATCGCGAAGAAGGGTACGTACTCCGTACTGGCTGTCAGTACCTTAGATACGTACTTGAGGGAGTACGTATCTACGAGAGAGAGAATGACGGTACGTACAGAGAGCCATGTACCGCCCCCTTGGTCGTTTCTCTCTACCTTATCCGCACCACCTTGGCTTCACTACTACGTAAGGTATCCGTAGTCTGGGCTGGTCCCCCCGTTTGGCGCTTCCCTGTTCTAGTGTGTGGTTCTGGAGCTGATGGCTCATGTCATGGCTGGGGGTTTGGTACCTGGTGATGGCGCTGGTTGCTGGTTGCTCAGAGAGAAAGTCCAGCATCAGACATGGCATCCAATGTCGTAAGGCCAGGCCAGGTATCCGTAGAGAGCAGGGCAAGGAAGGCAAGGAAGGCAAGGCAAGAAGCGAGACGAGGCGAGCAATCCTGGAGACAATACATACATGGAAGAGATACTTTGTATATCTGTATAATGCGAAGTACTGAAGTTGCGTAGGAGGAGCAAACGAGTGGAGGGGATGTCGTCGGCGGCTGCAGTGTGCAGTGCGTGATTGCTATGCTGTGCTAATGATGTCTCTCTCTCTCGTTCTGTACACAATAGTAATACCTACATTTCCTTACTACGGAGAATACTGTATGGATGCTTAGTCCCGGCATGTCTGGTGGTTCCTGTTCCAGCTCCAGTCTTGCGGCTTGCCATCCATCTTGTCCATCCTGGGCTAGCAACAACTGACAGTGACATCCCCCATCCCAGTCAAGTCTCAATCCACCCCGTCGAGTTGCCTTCCTGGACCTGGTTCAAGTTTCCATCCACACACCCTCTCTCCCGTCTCCCGTTGTCGTCGTTGTCTGGCTGGCGTCTCTCTGTCTGGTCGTCGCTAATACTCTCTTCCTAGTCGGCTACGCAAAGTAGTGGTAGTGGTGGTAGTAGCACCGTTGCTGTGTGCGGCGTATGCCTTGGTCCATCCCATCCACATCCCATCCTGACTCCAGACTCCAGAGAGGGTGAGCCTGGTCCTGCTTCTGGTTGCTTGGTTGCTGCTTCTTGTCCCATCCTGTCTTCCTGGTCCACCCCCCATCCCATCCCAGGTAATCCCATCCCATCCTATCCCCAATCCCGTCACACACACCTCACGGCTTGTACACCACACACCATGATCCATGGTCCATGGTTCCAGAGACTCAGAAACACACACCCAGTTCCCATCCCATCCCATCCCATCCCATCCCATATCCATATCCATATCCATACTTTGGCTCACCACCAGTCAACCATACACACACACACACACACACACCACACCTTCATTCAAAAACCTCTAGTCTCCTCTTTCTTCCGACCTCTTCCCTCCCTCTCTCTCTTCTTTCCCCCCTCATCCCCGACCATAACCACCAACGGTCCGACGGTACGGTAGGTTTAGAGAGTTACGGATACCTTTATTCTTAGGTTCATCAGAGAGGTTCAGTTCGAGGAATCTACCCAGGTGTCCAGGTCTCCAAGGTCCAGCCATTCTCTACAACTTATCGTACTCAACGTGCACCCCAAATCCACCACACCCACCAGCAACCACCACCGCCACCGCCAACATCCCACGCTCACGGACTACACTATCCCGTCCTCCCATCGTATCGCATATAACCGTTTTCTGTCGTCGACTACCACCATCGTAAACTCAACTCGACGCCGCCCTTTCTGTTGGCCAGTCCACACATCCAGGAAGAACCACCAAAATCAAAATCAAACCCAAAAACTCAACTCACGACTCTTTTTTTTTCTCTAATTTTTCATCTTTCTCGTTGTTTGCTCTTTCTGCATCTGTTACAGCTTTTCCCCCTCCGTTGGGCATCGTTGGTATCAGGAAGACGAAGAAGAAGAAGACGGACGAGAACGAAGCAAAAGAAAGAACAAGAAGAAGAAGAAGAAGAAGCAGAAGAGGAAATCAAGACTAAGGCTAGACGTTTGGGAGAAACTGCTTGACGTTTTTTCTTTCCCCGTCCCTGCGCCGGTACTAGATAACCCCAAAGGCATTGCACTCGTTTCTCTGTCATTGCTTGTCCGGTGCTACTGCTGTACACTCGGATCTTCCGCTCTCTGTCGCTACCCAGAACCAGCAAACCAGTCCTCTCACTGCCAAAAAGAAACACCCACACACACACTGCATCTGCGTCCTGCATCGTCTTTGCATCCCTTCCTGCTGCTCGGCCACCGAAAAAGTGTAGCTCGAGCGAAGAACTAAAGAAGGGTCGTAGCCTCCGAAACGCACCTTCGACACCGACGCCGCACTGCAGCTCCCGCACCGCACCGCACCGCATTGCTTTGCTCCTGCTCCGGCACCAAGGATTCACTTCTTTTCGGTTGCGCTCTTTCTCTTCAATATTTTTTTTTTTTCCCTTCGAGAAAGACGTTCCATGCAAAAGGCGCCTCGCTCCCACCTCCGATCACCCGCCCACCTTTGTTCCCTTGCACCACCCAAGGCCCATCGTGGACCGCCGGCCTCTCTCAAGTTAGAGACGCCGCCAACGACCTCGAACTCGACTTCGACTTCGACTTCGACTTCGACCTCGACCGAGATTCCCTGGGAGGAAGAAAAATACGTTTCATGAATCGAGGAGAAAAAGGACGGATTTTATTTCATCCTACGGGTATTCCAATGTTGCTTGCATCGACGCAATAACGAACGGCCAGTCTTTTTCGATCCCAGCTGCATTCTGCACGCACCCTTCCGAAAAACCTCCCCCGCCGCCGCGAATTCCCACCCATCTCGCCAAGCCAACACCGACGCTCGATTCGACATCGAAGAAGCCTGCATCACCACCACCACCCCCGATTCATACTCGTCGCGACGTCTTGTTCCCTCTCTCCATTGAGTGGGCAACGACTAAAATAGAAATTCATCTTAGGATTTGCCGCAACATTCGTTTATTGCGGCCTCTTCTTAACGATCGTCCCTCTTTTTTCGTCACGACATATCGAGTATCGTCTTGGACGCAGCACTCACACCAAAATACCCAACACCACTAACACCAACCACCACACCCAGTAAATACTTTCGCTCCCAAACGATCGATCCCGATAACCACCCGCAATCATGGAGGCCTCATCACCATTGGCGGCTATGCACCGTCCCATGGCAGTTCCTTCATGGGGAAATAAGGATCTTTTCCGTCCTCGTCCCAACACCTTCGCTGGTGCTGTACCCATCAGTCTGCGCGAGCACCTTCACAGGCCAGACAACTACTTCAACGTCAAGGACGTTCACGGTTCCTCGCCTGCTGCTAGCTTGGCCGCCGATCTCTCTCAGAACTTCCGTCTGGATACCGAATCGAGGTACGATGGCGTGCATTCAATGCATTTTTTTTTATTTTTATTTTTTTTGGAAAAAAAACCGCCCAGCTAACAACGTTCCGTCTAGTCCCAAGTTCCCCACACCTCGTCGTGCCTTGTTCACATCAAACATGATGGGTGATGCGGATTCCTACGGTAAGTTGTTCTATGGGGTTGCAGCGGAAAAGAGAAAGAAAAAGGACGGGGAAGCTGATGTGAGACCAGAATACGTGACTACGCCTCCTCTGCCCGAATCGTCACCTGCCCACGACTTGATGGATGTCTCGCCGTTGCCGCACAAGCTCCCGTTCATGACCCAGATCGCGATAACGTCACCGACCCCGGGATCAACCCCAACCGGCGAGGACGACGAAATGATGTTGGATTCGCCCGCCCCCATTCCTCGGCAGGCGTCGTTGGAGCCATCCAAGCCACTGGTAGCCGAGTAAGTTTGATTGCCACATTCTCCTCCTCCTCCTAGCTCAAGGGGTCGCGTCTAACTCAGGGCGCAGACGGAGAAAGCCAGCTTTGCGCCGGCCTTCCTTGACTCGGATGAAAGGCTACTCGACTAGTGGCGTTCCCGGCCGTTCCAACACAGACACCCAACTCCCCACTTTCCGATTTGGTGAGAATCGTTTGACGCATATGAACAGCGCAATGTCCCTGGGAGAATGCTTCGATGCCACATCACCTCCTCAAGAACGACGACCTCAGACTGCGAATAGCCCTACTCCTGCCGTGCCTGGTGCCGTTCGTCCTCGTCCTCAGTTCTCCAGCCTCTCTGGTAACCGCAACAGCCCTTTTGGCAACGGTCACAGCCGTCGCCCTTCCAATCCCTTTATGCGTCCCCGCAAGCAGTTCCGTCGCTCTTTGAGCATGTTCGAGCACCCTGGCGATGTCGTCAAGGCAAAGTCAGAAGGCGGCGACTCCTCGCCTACTACCCCCGAGTCTGTTACCAGCATGGATGCCGATGATGTTCAGGAGCCCATCCTGCCTCACTTCCTCGCCGATGACCCCACGGACACCATTCCCAGGATAACAAAGGCTACCATGATTGATCTCTTGGACGGAAAGTACAGTGACAAGTTCGACCAGAAGATGATCATTGACTGCCGTTTCGAGTACGAGTACGACGGAGGACACATTGACGGAGCTGTCAATTACAACAGCAAGGACCTCCTCGCCTCCCAACTGATCCAACACCCCATGCAAGGAAGGACCATCCTCGTCTTCCACTGCGAATACTCTGCGCACCGCGCCCCCATGATGGCTCGCCATATCCGCTCCGAGGACCGGACTGTCAACGCGGAGCACTACCCGCGACTCACATACCCTGACGTGTATATTCTTGAAGGAGGATACAGCGGCTTCTACGCCGAGCACCGTTGCCGTTGCTATCCCCAAAACTACGTGGAAATGTCGGACGAGGCTCACCAGCGCACCTGCGAACGCGAACTTGGCCGCCTCAAGAACCCTCGCAAGGGGTTCGGCAGAGCGCAAACGTTTGCCTTTGGCTCGCGCGACTCTTGCGTGGACCAATCACCCACTGCACCCGCGCGCCCCAGCGGCCTGAGACCCAGCATCAGCTTCCGACAAGATCCCATCGCCATGATTGGCAACTCTCCCATCCTCGGCGAACGATGCCATGCACGACGCATGGCGTCTTACTAGCACATACATATTTGCGCACCCCTCCCACCCACTGTCTGCTGCACATTGTGGAGGGGTCATCTCCTTGCTTGGCAAGGGGGGAATTCGAGGTCTCCGCAGACCTCGAAGCTAGTCCATTGTTTTGTCGACTATTTTGTTCGACATCCCTGATAGGGCGAACCACAGCAAGCCTGATTGTCGATGTTTTTTCGCGTCTCTTCCTGCACATGTTCAACAAAACCCCCTATTCGATTCGACTGCCTATATTCCGCCCTTAACCAATCCGGACTACACAGCAGCTTACGCTCACGGCCGCGATGACTTCAAACATTACGCTAATAGAACTTGTTATGAGCCTCGTTCTGCAACTTGAACATACAACAAAACCAACAACCCGGCATTAGACGCATTTGGCATATTTGTCCCCGCATCGCCTCGATATGGTTGTTCGGAGTCCACTTTGGATCTGGCATCTTGGGGTGGGCTCCCTGTCGGCATTTTACAGCATTGTCCTTGGTTTTTTTTTGTTTCTTTTTCCTTTGTCAAAAGACTTCTGCATTCCGCCGAGGAGGATGGTCCAACACATACACACACACACACACACACACACACACACACAAACACACGACAACACCGCTTGTCTGTCTCCACAGACTCGGACGCGGGAGCATTTCAGTATGACGTCTCGGTCTGTCTGCTCTCTGTCGGAAACTCCACATATCCTCGGAGCATTATTTCGGACCAACACCCCCTCGGCGGACCCTTTTTCCTTTGTGCTCAACTCGGTCCATTGACCATCTTCACCTGATACCACACACTTTTCTATCCAAACGCCGGAATACCCGACATCCTTGTCATCGGATGGCACTCACAGACCTCTCGACACCCCCATTCCCTTTACATTTTATTTTTTTTTCAAAACAAAAAGCCCCACGGACCTTTTTCTTCCGATGGCTGAGCTTATGGAGGACTCCACCTCCTTGTGTATATTGTAAGGAGTAGCTGCGACAGACGCATGCAAAGAGCGGAGAAGCTATCACAGTGGATGAAAAGCAGTTGCTTGGGAATGCCTTGTAACATTGGCCAACGGGGGAGATGGCAACTGCAAGCTTGGAAGCTGGATTGGTGCAATACCGGCATGGGTGAATCCATTGCCTCTTTCTGTACAGTACTGGCGATGCAAAAGAAAAAAAATTGCCAAACCAAACACCAATGGTTCCATGGTCGGATCCATTGTGGGCTAGCTCATAACAATTGAATGAAAATACACACAAACAATCAAACAAAAACACGCTCATCATTGCTTGGACTCGTGGGACTCGTGGGACACGTGCTCAAGGCGCGGCTGTGATGGCGTATGCGCGTGTGTATGCGCGAGCGCGTTTGTCTGACTGAGCCTCCTCCCAAGTCCCGATGAACACCAAGGCCCCGTTGAGATCGCACCGGCTGATGGCTGGATGTCTGTGCTAGTTCGAGGTCCGAGGTCTTGTTGTTCGTCCCGACTTGTGGATAATAGTGTTTCGAAACTTGGGGCCGGTCCCCGAGTTCCCTTCCCCCACGGACGTCAGGATGATCAGGATATACCCCCCGCAAGAACCCCGTTATGTTTCTTTTTACACTTCGTATTGAGGCTCTCTCTACTCTGGGAAGGAGAAGGGACGGACCCCAGCCTGTCCTTGTTCTCTATCTGTGCAGGGAATGTCCCGTGACGCGAGGCCCGTCCCAGTTTCACGATTTGATGTCAGCTTTGACTGGTGTTGCTTTTTTGACCCGAAGCGATGTTGAGGTTCCTGTGACATTGTTGGTGTGTTTGCCTCAACCCATGTCTAGCACTCTAGATGGCATTTGGCACATCAGTCAGTCTCGATTGCCCCCTCCAAGCCAATGACTGGTGAAGCTTGAGGGATGGTGTTCGTGGGTTGGGGGTAATGATGCAACTGAGCCTCATGGGGAACTCCCCAAGCGTTCTTGCTATGATGGCTCAATGCTCAGGCCCCCCTTTCCATATCCCGAAGCTAAGGTCGGAAGTTTACGTCTTAGTCGATACGTAGTCTCCGCGCTAGGATCTTTCTTTTCTGTTGTTTCTCTCCGTTGGCGGTTTAGAAGACCTATTGTTAGAGTCTTTCGACTGGTTGTTTTGGCTTTACGTGTCTATGTCGCGTGTCTTTTGAGGTGAGGTGAGGTAAGGGGGGGATTGGAGTTTGGGGTGTTCTGTTGAATGTTCTAGCGTGAAAGGGTGGCTTTGTTCTCTCTTTCTTGTCTAACCCCCCCCCTTTTGGTCTACCGTCTTGGTTCTTATTTTGGGAAGGATGTCAAGATGTGGCCTTACCTGAGTATGGGGGGTAAGCACGCGAGCGAAAGTGACACATGTTTAACGGTATTTCTTCCACTGCTAAGAAAGGTTTGCCAATGCATTCATTGATACGACTGTTTCCCATTGAAGAATGGAGAGGATGGGTCTCTTGGAGAATCCTTGTGGGTGGTATCAATTACGG